ATTTTGACTAGAAATGTAAATATACTTGTCTTGACATAAATTTTGACTAGAAATGTAAATATACTTGTCTTGACATGAATTTTGACTAGAAATGTAAATATACTTGTCTTGACATAAATTTTGACTAGAAATGTAAATATACTTGTCTTGACATAAATTTTGACCATAAATGTACTGTAACTAGAAATTACAAGAGAAGAGATGTTTTTCATTTAATAAATTACTGTGTTTTTTTTTTTTTAGCCCAGACCATTAAAGCTTTCCAGGTCATAGTAAAAGCCCTCCTTTGTCTCCATGTCTCTAACAATTAAGGGACCCATTTCATGGTTCATAAAGGCATTTGGTACTAGCTCGCAATTAACATCTTTAGATAAGGCAGTGAGAGAGAAGACAGCCTGGCTGGCAATGGGCCGTCTATGTACCGGAGAGAAATCATCAATGCCTTAAGAGAGACTAAATGCTGTGAGGCTTCAGTTTCGTGGAAAATGTTTTTTCACTGAATAGACTGTATACCCTGGGTGAACCAAGTTTAAGATGCAGGACAACGAACGAACGAACAAACTTTATTTTCAAAGGGTTACAAATTGGGCACACAGGCCCGTCTGACATTCGGCCCTTCTAAGCACTCGTTTTCCGGGGTACCAATGCCTGTTATAGATATAGAATAAAAATATACATTATAGAATATAATACATACATCATGTGTACACAATCTTACACACTCACAGACATATATATTTGCTCTCACATCTCATACTTGCACACTCATAAGAGACATACCTAAGACTAAATACATACTTGCATCTACATATATACACAAACAGAAAAGGCACACACATTATATAGACATATATGCGTTCATACATACACACCTTCACATGCATGCATACACACACACATACAATCACATGTACACTTTCACATCACATGTAAACATACATACATATACATACACACACCTATATCTTTACACACATACATGCATAATTGCATACATACCTACACCACATACTTATACATCTACAAATGCATACACACATCCACAAACATGCATACATACACACACCCACATACATGCTGACACACATTACATACATACCCACACATGCATGCATAGACACACATACAATCACCCATACAGGAAAATCATGCGGGAGCCACTTGTCATTACATAATCTAGAACAGAATAGGAGTTGTAAGCCCAAAAATACTTGGAGACATATTCAGGAGGTGATCGAAGCACTTAAAAGTCATATCTGATAAGGATGATCTTAAAATGAACAGTAATCGTTCAGATCCCAGATAGTTAATACTTTGAAAATTATAAAAAAAGGACCTTTTTCAGGCCTCAAAACATACATAGCAAATAGGGCTAGAACATTTTATAGACCTCGGTGGTGATGTAGTCAGCATCACCCCAGCCACCTTTACTTCCCAGTACTTCACGTGGTACCCATTTAAGGCCAAGTCATTTCTGAAAGTCAAAGTCATTTTATAAAAAGAAAAGTTTGGGTGTGTTCGGATTTGAACCAACGCCTTCAGATCTGTGGCGAGCATAAAGTTGGTGCAGCTTGGCAGCTGCCTTAGAAATTGTATAACAGATGTTTAAAGTAATAAATTCATGAGTCTGAAGCATCTACATTCTTTGATTATTCTTTAGTATTGTGTTTGTTATTTTTTTTATTGCATATTTTATAAAAGCTACAGATAATGTACACTCTTGGTTCATATCATGAAAAGTAGAAAACTGGAGTATGTTGTGACACCGGGAAAAAGCGGCAAAGGAAGCCCGAGAGAACAGATGCTGGACAGTTTGACACCATGGCGTGGAAGACCATCTGTGGCAGATTTGATTGGAAGTACACGAGACAGAAGGTTGTGGACAGACTTGGCTAGCAATCTAACATTCACACTAACTCCACTATAGCATACAGTTCCTCACACTACACCACACACATGCCCTCACACGTCTAGGTACCAGATTCACGCACAGGCCTTTGTTATATTTCAGAAGCAAAATTAAACAATACAAACAATGGAACAAATTTTAAATCTTTGAAAATGTGCAATTAACAAAACAAAAATTGTCAGATCACAAACAGTGGAAAGAATAGATGAAATCAAATCTGAAAATAATTTTAAGTGATACTGGCTACATAATAACATAAACATTGTTTTGACTGGTATATACAGATATTTCTTCTTTTTCTCCTCTTAATTCTACTTACTTTTCTTTTTTCTATCCTTTATCCCCTAATTGAAGAAATGATCCTTAAACAAGTAACTATCAAACCATCTTACGCAAGCAATTTCCTATATTGCTGCGTGGTCTCGAGGCATGGCATCTGACTCGAGTGCTGGAGCTCCTAGGTTTAAGCCCCCAGTGAGGGCTAGGATTTCTTCACGTTGACTTCTAGTAATTTCCACTGGTCTCTAGGTAGTAAGATTGGATGCCCGTGTGTATTGTTGCGCACATAAAAAAATCCCTTGGCAGCTGGAAATAAAAAAAAGTAGCCTAACGGCGCTGCCCAGGTAAAATTTTGAGTTAAAAATCTACCCAAAGTATTTCAGGATCCTTGCCGGTGCTGTGGAGTTTGTGCACTGCGCTGAGAATCTTCAGGACACAGGCTTGAGTCAGAAGTAGAACGGAGCACTTATGGGTTACCTCTTGTAGTTGATCTGTAGTCTAAGCCTAATCTTTCCCATATTATTAATTTTCTTCTTTTGTCATCTCACTTTTACAGGGTCGTAGCCCAGTATTCTGATTATCTGTACTTATCTGACACTTTACTTTTCAAGTGCAGGATGGTGATGTATTCATCCATTCTCAATCTGACGGCAGCCTTTACAAGGCTGTAGGCGGAAAGCCAAATGTAGAATTAGAAATCGACATCACAGCACTCGGGACACCCCCATAAGTGCTCCGTCCCCACCTTCAAGCAAAGAGTTAAAATTCTGATGGTACCAGTAACCGTCTTAGTGTAAATCTGTCTTGCCTTTCCCATGAGTGTCAAGCATCGGCCAGATCCCCTTGCAACTCCTCGCAGTGCCATTCTCCTGGGACCATAATGATCTATCTGTCTCCGCAGCATTCACTTGCTCCCAAAGGGAGCAAAAGGAGATATGCAGCTTGTCTCACAAAAGGAGACATGCAGCTTGTCATACATCACTTCACCACCAAGTGGTGCAGAACTGGCCATTCTATCTGCCTCTTCATTTCCCAAACACTGGCATACCCTGGAAAAATATCTAAAGGAGGCTAACTACCTGGACCTTTGAAGTGATGCTTGTCACTCTGCACGGAGCATGCCTGTCTCCACCTTTCTCAACATGCGCTGTAAGGCAGTTATAATGACGGCATGTGTGTACAGCTGGTTCTCCACCTCCATTCTCAAACTAAATGTTGTGGTGTCATATGCCAGGCTTTGTTGCACCAAGTGATGTCCATTCGCCTTCGCTATGAACCCCCATGCACTTCGTCTGCCCCTCAACACAGAGCCATTTGAATAGATAATCACATCTGATGCTGACCTATCACATTTTGAAAGCCAAAACCAGGATAAGGAAGGTACGAATTCTCTGAGAGCTGCAGATGATGGTGTACTTACCACCCACTCAGAGGAGGATCTGCACCTGCATGTCCTGATGCATGCTATGAACTTAGAATAACTGTCAACAACTGTCTGTATGTACCACTTTTTTAGGGTGGTGTAGACAAGGGGGTCGTGAGTCTTGAGTGTGAGGATTTATGGCTTGTGCTGTCACCACACATTGTACAGGTTAAGGTGTTTAATTCTGCCTCCCCGACAGAAAAACTTACCAGGGGTCCTTTTTTTCAAAAATGACCTTGACTTCCAGGTCGACCACTCCTTGAATGGGTACCGGGTGCAGTCCCAGGAAGTAAAGGTGGCCGGCATGATGCTGACCACATCACCTATCTTGTGCCAATTGGTCTATAAAAATACAGGTCTAGCCCTATATGCCTAAAGGCGTGGAAAAGGGACCTTTCCTTTTAAAAAAAAACTTGTTACCAGGGCCTCCTGCACAGAGCCCGACATTGTAACTGCTCGGCCAGCTTCTTTTCAATTGGTATAACGATCAGCAAAAAGAAGATAACAGTACAAGGTGTTAATGACATAACTACTGTCTATGTTAATGGCGAAGAGCTGGAGACAGTTGATCATTATACCTATCTGGGATCCACAGTTAACAACAAACTTTCGTTGGACTCAGGCTAGGTAAGGCAGCAAACTACAATGAGCAGATTAACAAAGTTTCTGGGAGAATAACAAGTTCATAATTAAAACAAAAATTCTTGTCTATCAGGCTTGTGCTCTCAGCACTCTTCTTTACGGCAGCAAAACTTGGTCAACTTATTCACACCAGGAGAAACAGCTAAATAGATTTCATATGTGATGCCTAAGAAGAATACTTTGGAACAGGCACATGGTTATAAACAGTCTGTCACTCAAGTCATGTCTTTTGAAAACTAAACACTCTTGACATCCTTAACAACAGTATTGACGGGTTACAAGACAATAGCTTGTCTATTGTAATTTCTATCACATTTTTTAGGTTCTCAGTTGAAGCTCACTTGTAATTTTAATTGTTTTGTTCACTAAATTAAAAATTTTTAACTCTTTCCGTTGAAGAAAGACATATAATTTCTCTCTGGTCAAAATTGTCATAATTTTAACCCCCGTGGATTCAAAAAGTTAACACTCTGAAGCAACAACACCATGTGAAAGACAGAGTTTAGTTCAAAATTGTATTCTTTAAAAAAAAATGTTTTCAGAATGGAAGAGCTCTGAATAATTTAAAACAAATCATAAATTAACTATTAAAAAAACCCAAACCAAATAATATCAAGGAAACAGAAAGTTCATTACAAATATGTCTGGCTGAAACAATTGCTTTCATAAGAAAAGAAAGACTGGTGCGGTGGCGCTTTCATATGGAAAGAAAGACTGTTAAAGCTAGGTTTGATCAATATCTAAATGCTATGTGACAGCAATGTCCTGATTCTGGGAGTCAGCTGCAACAATGTCTTTTCCATTATCACCTTCTTGGTTTTTGGGAGGCACCTGAGTGATGTCTGAACTGTTTATGTTTTCAGGTTCAGTTCTGCCTGCATCTTCTGCACGGTTATGTTCAGGTGACAATACAGACTGGTCATCTGAGATAGCTATGCCCTCTGGATCAATTCCAGCAATTCTGTCACCTGGATCAATTCCAGCAATGCTGTCATCTGGATCAATTCCAGCAATGCTGTCATGTGGATCAATTCCAGCAATGCTGTCATCTGGATCAATCCTAGCAATGCTGTCATCAGCATCATCTGAGAGGCTGGCATCATTGTCCAGGCTTTCTTGGTGGCTGTTGTCTTCAAGGAAGTCCATGTCCTGTTTGACAGAGAAGTCGTTGGTGTAGTCGTCCTCGATGTAGGAACCCTCGCCTGACACTTCTAGACTTCCTGCAATACATCATGAACAAATTTTAATCTACCCCATAACTGATTCTTCATCTGCCTTCTATCCCCTCAATAGAGCATATGCCCTCAAAAATTCACGCTATGAGTCCTTCCCATCTTTATAAATTCACTCTCTCACTCCATTCACCACATGTTTTTTTCAGTCTGCCTTTACTTCCAGTGCAAAGATATTTTAGCTTAATGATGGAATGAATATGCTGTTTATAATCTGTCACTCATAATTATGCTTGGATACCTTAATAATGATGACAATTGGTGCACCTGCTTTCTGACATCTGGTTTCTATTTGTCTGTCAATTCTACCTTTTTCCGTGATCATGCTTCCTAGATATTTAAACTCCCTAACCTGATTCTCCGACCAGAAACATTCAGCTGTATGTGGAGTGGGCCGGGGGTTCTATTAACGTGCACTGTTTCAATTTTGCTTGCATTGATCTTCATGTTGTATTTACTGCATGATAAGTTTAACTTGTTAATGTGGTCTTGCAGTCTTAGAGTCTATCTTCTTCAGGGTTGAACAAGCACTGGTCGTCAGCAAAAAGTAGTTCATTCAATGTGGGTGAATCGATAACTTCTCCTGTGTGTACTTCCTCATGATTATAAAGATCCCCGTTGTCTGTATCAAAACTCACTTTTTTAGATATTCTGTCTATAAGGTTAGTTGCGTATCCTTTACAGGACATTGCAGAACCAATCCCAACCAGCCCCTGGCTGTTGTGTGGTTTTTCTAGGCAAATTTACATCCAGTAGTTTGTCATTGCTTTCTGGACGGTTGGCTTTCTTGATACCACTGTTGAAACCAACCAAGGCGCATGGCCCGCGGCTGGATCGATCCCGGCATTACGAAGCATTCACATTGACTTTCTGTCTATATAAATGTTAAATAAAAGTGGGGCGAGCACACATCCCTGTCTCACACCTGTGTTGACTGTAAACATATATGATATGCCTTCTTGTGTTCTTACTGCACTTTGGCTTGTGTATGTAGTACAAGGCTATGATGTTCTCTTATTATTATCATTTCAAGGGTTCCTCATTATATATTGTTTATATGGCCTCAAGGGTTCCCCATCTGTTTATTATACAATATACAAGGTTTGTTTATATGGCCTCAAGGGTTCCCCATCTGTTTATTATACAAGTATTGTTTATATGGCCTCAAGGGCTTCCCCAAGGGTCCTCATCTGTTTATTATACAAGTATTGTTTATATGGCCTCAAGGGCTCCCCATCTGTTTATTATACAAGTATTGTTTATATGGCCTCAAGGGTTTCTCATCTGTTTATTGCATACTGTTTGCATGGCCTTAAGGGTTCCCCATAATTTTATTCCATCTTGTTTATATGGCCTTGAGGGTTCCCCATCTGTTTATTATATATTGTTCATATGGCTTCAAAGGTTCACCATCTGTTTATTACTTATAATCCAGTCTCTATGGACATTCAGATTATGAACTATGTCAGAATTTTCCCTCCTCTTGGTCCACAATACACCCTATGCAGGTTTCAAGGGACCATTTCGGGGAAAAGAAAGAACAAGTTCGCCATCCCCAAACAAGCATGTCATAAAAGTAAACTAACAATGGGGTTTCTTTCGAACTCGGAGGGCATCTGCTTGAGGGGCAAGGAACCAACAGTCTGCATACAAATAAGCCAGATCTGTGAAATGGATCTGCACGCAAAATTCAAGAAAAAAATCCAGGAGTGAACGAACAACCACGACTTTCAGCCGGAGTTTACAGCTGGTGAATGCTAAGAAGAAGAAGAAGATTACATCAAGCAGAAAGAACTGATAGAGACAACAAGAACTACCTTCTGTGTCCCCACTTGGACCAAGGAAAGAATCTAGGGCTTGCTTGTCTTGATCCAGGGTGATCTCGCTCAAACTGGCAACTTTCGGCAACTCCACAGGGAGTTCTGAAATAAAAGTCAACACCACACATGTACAAGTTATACAGTTAAGAGTTACAGTGATTAGGACACAAGCCTGCCAAGACAAAGGTCCAGTTTGTTTCCAAGAAGTGACAAGATTAGTTCCAACCAGTACAATACAACTGTCAAAATGGCAGTTTTAGTGTATTGGTGGTGGCAAGTTTTTGATTCTTCAACAGTAAGCCGTTGCATTTTCAAAAAACTTCAAACTGACAGAATATAGTTTCATCACCCAGATACTGAGCTGAATGGACAGCATGACTCTGTAAGCTGCTGATTTAAATCAGAATGCTTTCTGTCTGAGCCCAATGTGAACTGCAGATTCAGAATATGGAGAGTGGCCTGTTGCCACAGAACTGGTGGTGCAACTATTGATCTGTGTCACTGCTGCTTCCAGTGAGATGAACTGCGTTTCTAGTGTCTAACTGTTTATGCTGGCTCTTCTCACAGCTGCTTTATGAATGTAACCCACTGACTACCATGATCGCACATTATGCGATCCACCGACGTTTCTTATGTATGGGGTTTTTGTCCCCTCCTTCTCACCTTTGTTAAGCTACTAAGCCACAGTTTATGGATTAACTTCTGGACACTAGCTTTAGGCAAATAAGACAAGAGACAAAGCAAAATGATGTATCCAGTTTTTATAAGAAAGCGCCGCTGGAACTACACTGATCATACACTCAGAATGGATAAGACAAGACTTCCCTATCAAGCGCTCATATGGACACCGGAAGGGAGAAGAAAACGGAGAAGACCAAGAGAGACCCTGTGTAGAAACATCATCAAGGAAAGGCTCAACGTTGAGCCTAATGAATATCCAAAACCTAAAACAGGTGGCAACGAACCACCAGACATGGAGAGCTGTGACCTCTGCCCTATGCGCCGCCTTAGGCTCAAGAGGAAAGACTAACTAACTAGTTTGGCTGCAGCCACCCGTTTTTTTTCTCCTCAGTATCTAACAAGCCATCAAACATATTTAGTCTGTCATTTTTGTACAAATTTTTCTCTTCAGCTTTTCTGAAACAATTTCCTTTGCCCAAGTTCAACATTATTCCTTACAGCGACTCTGTCGGTCACAACTGCTTATGCTACATTGCAAAGAAGAAGAGTTATGATAACAGAGCAAAAATAATAAATCCAATTTCTTTACTAAAAACATGAAATATGATGAACACAGAGCTTACATAATCAATCATAAAATTTTGCTAAAAACCTGAAATACAAAGGTTGAACACCTTGAAAAAAAATCAATAAATTGTTTTGATAAAATCATGAAATATAAAAAACCACACAGTTTACACAATCAATCAAATTATTTTGCACACCAAATAAAAAAATGAAATCATGAAATATGATGATGACAAAGTTTACACAATCAAATTAGTAAAGTAATAGTAAAGGATTCCTTTTCACACCTTAGGCGTATAGGGCTAGACCTATATTTTATAGACCAATCGGCCCAAGATGGGTGATGTGGTCAGCATCACGCCAGCCGCCTTTACTTCCTGGGACAGCACCCGGTACCCACTCAAGACTATATCAACCTGGGAGTCATGGTCATTTTTGAAAAAAAGTCCGGCTCCGCCAGGAAGCAAACCCACGACCTTCCAATCCGCGGTGAGCATCTAGCCGCTCTGCCACGGCGACTCCCTACAATCAAATTATTTGGCTAAAAACATGAAAGAACCACAGAGCTGAAACAATCAATCAAATTATTGTCCTTCTTTAAAGAACCCAGAGCTGAAACCCAAAATCTGCTCTGTCGGACCAGGCGTCACAGATTAACTAGATGATTGGTATCCAGTCAAAGGGCACGCTCAGTTGCCCGGTATACTGAGATGTTGTGGAGTCTCAAGATATCACTGACTCTTTCAATCCACATTATTCTTTGTCGTCCCCTAATTCACGGTGTTTCTATTTAAAGGCGTACGCTCTCGTTGCTGGCATCATTGGATTCCTTCTCATTAAATGGCCAAACCATTTCAGTCTTTGTTTAATTATCATACTAAAAATACAAAATATTATATCACAGAACTTACAGGCCATGTAACAAGATTGGCATCAGACAGAGCACCACAGAGAGCAGTGTTATACAGATAAAACAGTAAAAATCCAGAGGTCGACCACGCAGAAAATGGACCGCAGAAATATCAGAGACACTGAAAAGTACATCACACAAAGTGAACACAAGGACCTGTTCTAGAGATCTCTTCCTGCCCTGACACCATGAGGCATTCCAAGGGTGAAGAAAAGAATAAGACAGAAAGAAGAACTTACAAAACAATCAAATTATTTTGCTACAAACATGATATATGATATCACAAAACGTGACTGATCAATCAAATTATTTTGTTTAAAAAATTGAAACCTGATATCACAGAACTTGACTGGGTCAATCAAATTATTTTGTTTAAAAAAATGTGAATTATGATGACAACAGTGTTTACATAAACAATATAAGATGACCACAGAGCTTACAAAAACAAACTAAGATGGCCATAGAGCTGTCACAAACAATCTAAGCTGACCACAGAGCTTACACAAACAATCTAAGATGACCACAGAGCTTACACAAACAATCTAAGATGACCGCAGCACTTACACAAACAATCTAAGATGACCGCAGCACTTACACAAATAATCTAAGATGACCGCAGCACTTACACAAACAATCTAAGATGACCACAGTGCTTACACAAACAACCTAAGATGTTACACAAACAACCTAAGATGACCACAGAGCTTACACAATCTAAGATGACCACAGCACTTACACTAACAATCTAAGATGACCACAGCGCTTACACAAACAATCTAAGATGACCACAGCGCTTACACAAACAATCTAAGATGACCACAGTGCTTACACAAACAATATAAGATGACCACAGCGATCACACAAACAATCTAAGATGACCACAGAGCTTACACAAACAATATAAGATGACCACAGCGCTTACACAAACAATCTAAGATGATCACAGCGCTTACACAAACAATCTAAGATGACCACAGTGCTTACACAAACAACCTAAGATGTTACACAAACAACCTAAGATGACCACAGAGCTTACACAATCTAAGATGACCACAGAGCTTACACAAACAATCTAAGATGACCACAGAGCTTACACAAACAATCTAAGATGACCACAGCACTTACACAAACAATCTAAGATGACCGCAGCACTTACACAAACAATCTAAGATGACCGCAGCACTTACACAAACAATCTAAGATGACCACAGTGCTTACACAAACAACCTAAGATGTTACACAAACAACCTAAGATGACCACAGAGCTTACACAATCTAAGATGACCACAGCACTTACACTAACAATCTAAGATGACCACAGCGCTTACACAAACAATCTAAGATGACAACAGCGCTTACACAAACAATCTAAGATGACCACAGCACTTACACAAACAATTTAAGAAGACCACAGAGCTTACACAAACAATCTAAGATGACCACAGCACTTACATAAACAATTTAAGATGACTACAGCACTAACACAAACAATTTAAGATGACCACAGCGCTTACACAAGCAATCTAAGATTACCACAGCGCTTACACAAAAAATCTTAATGCCCTTGACTTACTTCCAGGATGTCCATGAGTTCGATAAAACTCTAGATCATTTTGGAAAGCTGAAGTAAATACATCTGCCCTCTCCTTAAGATTTTTTCTCTTTGCTGCCTCTAGATCCACCATTTTCTTGGCATGAGCTTGGGCAAGTTCAACTGCATGAAGTAAAAAGTAGTATTTGTTCACTCACTTACAAGAATCATGATGGTTAAATTGATAGCATACTTGGCTACTAACATGATTTTCACTGGTTTACTGCCAAGAAGCAGTCTTCTTCTTGTTCGCATTCACCAGCTGTAAACTCTGGCAGAAGCTTCTGGTTGTTCATCCACTTCTGGGCTCTAGTCCTGTTCCAGAAACTGATTGTTGCATGCACATCGATTTCACAGATCTGACTCATTTGCATGCAGGCTGTTGGTTCCTTGCCTCTCAGGCAGATGTATTCTGACTTCGAAGCAATCTCCCAATAAGTCCACTCTTATGACATGCTTTTGGGTAGACAGTGGGTCTATTCTTGTTTTCCACACAATAAGGCCCTAGAACCCATATCGAGAACAAGAAGTGGTGAAATCAATAAGAAACTTCCCGTATGGTTTCCTCGGTGCGGGAAATAGATACATGTCGCGTAACAAGTACGCTGTAAGGGTTTACAATTCAAGGTGTTTCCTTTGAAGTCGGAATGCATCTGCCTGAGAGGTAAGGCACCCAGTAGGCAGCATATAAATTAGCCAGAACTATAAAATAGAAAACAGATTTTTACACAAAACTCAAATTCTGAAATAAGACTAAAGCCCAGAAGTGGGCAAACAACCAATACTTTCCACCGAGTTTACAGCCGGTAAATACAAAGAAGTAGAAGAACAATCAACTGCACACAAATAAGCCAGTAAAACAGATGTAAATGCAAAACTCAGGCCCTGGCACAAAGCCAAAGTCCAAATGGATGAACGACCAGGACTCTGCGTCAGAGCTTACAGCCAGTGAACAAAGTGGTAGCAGTACATACAATGCTAGAACATATGTTTCATAGACCAATGGGCATTCGGTAATTAAAAATTTCACATTTATATCTGGATGATGCCGGCTGACTTTACTTCCCAGGACTTTACCTGGCACCCGTTTCAGAAAATAACTGACTTACTTCTCTTTAAACATAAATAAAATTAATATGGTGATGCATACTTCAACCCCCTAACCCGGTTGCTGGTTAACGCTGGTGGCAATAGGACAATACAACACCATAATTTCAATTTTAAAAGCTATTTATTCACAAGAATCCCCCCCCCCCCCCCCCCTCACTATTTATAATAAATATAATCAATTCCGGTCCTAAATGTTCAAGAAGCCGAAACAATACCAGAAATGTTAGCTATGTGTCTCATGAAAAAGCTATTGAAGAAAATTGGCATATTCACTTTAACGCGGGCATATCACAAACTGGATGAGGTGATTTTATGACTATTCAGGACGACCCAGGGTTAAGAGGTAAAAAGACATCCTTCACTTACTGTACTGAACACCTTATGTGGTTCTGAGAGGCTACAGTTTGGGGCAACAAAGAATAAACATACCCCCCCCCCCCCCCCCCCCCCCCCCCCCCACAACAACAAGCATGTTGTAAAAGAGGACCAACTAAGGGTTTGCTTTTTCTTCTTCTTTTTCATCTGCATTTGATATCAGCCGTGCTAAAACATTCCGTGCTAAACATTCAAACACAAACATATCCTCGGGATATGATTTTTCCCGTTCCCACGCGCCTCGCCAGTCTATTGGCTAGACATCCACCTGACTGCTTTGGAATATGAAAATCAATGATATTGTGTAGTAGTATGTCTAATTTATGTATGAGCTGATGAAGGCTTCCACAGCCACAAAGTTCGCGTTTGTGTTTGTTATACTGTGAAGCTCGCTGATATTACTTTTTATTCAGTTTTGTGTCTTTCCTTGATGTTGAACATTTAGCCCCATCTGGGTCACAGAAAAGGTTGTAGGTCTAAGGTCGCCACCAGCACTCCCACAGCTTCTCTTGTACTGGAACTCCCTTGGGCCTGAGCCACAATCTTTGCTATAAGTAGTTAGGGCAGTCCTGCAGTATGTAGGAGTTAGCTAAAAATCTAATGTGTTGGGCTGAAAGGTGTAGAAGTCGCAGCCTTGCTGTAAACCCCAACACAACCATGTCAACTGCCCTTTTAAGGGAAAATAATGAAGAAGAAGAAGAGAAATATTGACAATACAGATCACCGTACCTACCTTTCACTTTCTCTGCTTCTGCTTCTTTTAGTGCTTTGTACATCGCCAACTTCCTCTGCTCTTCGAGACATCTCCGGTGAAACTCCTGCTCCTCACAAAGGTCCTCCAGTATGTCTAGTCCTCTCCCTGCCTCTTTAAAGCTTTGAGACAAACCATCTGTGGATTTAATTAAAAAAATGTCATTACTGCCTGTTCTCCGTGTGGGTTTTAGGGCCCCACTGAGGGCAAAACAAGAACAGACCCACTGCCTACCCAACAAGCATGTCGTTAGAGTCAACTAACTGGTGGGGGGGGGGGGGGGGGGGTTTCCTTTGAAGTGGGAGTACATCTGCCTGACAGACAGGGAACCAACAGTCTGCACTCGTAAAATGGAACATGTCTGGAGTCCAGAGGTGGATGAACAACCAGAACTTTCCGAAGAGGTTACAGCCTGTCAAGGACGAAAAAAAAGATAACTGCTTGTATTTAATAAGTCTGGATAGGAATCAATTTCATTGTTGTGCCAGGACACTCTGGGATAAAAGGGAATGAACGAGCAGATTGGCTTGCTGGCAGGGTCACGGTAGGTACAAGAAGAGCAATGAACCGGGCTGACATTCTTAATGCTCTCAAGAAGGCAGGACGAGAAGAAGATTCAGTGATGACGGCGAGTCAGCAACACTTAAAAGACTACAAGAACTTCAGGTGTCAAAAGAGGTGTCGTCAAACATAAACACTATGCAGGTAGCCAAAGAAGAATAGTAAACCAACAGCAATAAGGATAATCTGTTGATTAACTAAGTCTAGAGCAGTTTATGATAAGAAAAGGGGTTGGGTTGGTTAGGGGTGGGGGCTGTAGTCATAAGCTTCAAGGTTTAAGGCTGCATGGCTAGTAGTATGCTGCTGCCAACTGTACAGGTTAAGACTTATATTTTGGCCCGGATAGAAAAAAAACTTCATCCCCTTATTGAGACTCGATAATATAACAGCCTAGCACTTTTAACTACTTGGCATGCCACTCCACTTATAAGAAACATAACAAATAGAAACAGCAACATCAAGAATGTCAAGAGCTCTCACAGGTCTGAGACAGACTGTCTGTGTTAAAAATTAAACACAGAAAAGGAACAGCTAAAACCATCTTCAGCAAGATGCACACATTATTGATAGCTAGTGAGACAAACACACTGAAAATGTGAACTGTCAAATGTTATTTATACTCAACCAGTCAAGCAGTCAGTTATGACAGCCAGCATCGTACATGCAAAACTGTATACGTATTAGGGCTGTACCAAAAATTCGCTTCGTATTTGATTCGGGGCTGAATGGTGGACCTATTGACTATTCGGTATTTGGCCGAATAGTTGCTGTTGGGCAGAATACGAATAGTAGTTACCTTACACCCGCTTCTGCATACACGACCTTAATACTGACAACATGGAACGATTGGTTTTGTTGAAATCTAATGCAGCTTTCATGCATTAACTAAGCTGTCAGTGACAATTTCCAAGTTTAGTTACTTGTTATAATACTTAGAATTCTTTCATTCCTAATTATTAGTTACCACAGACTGACTGAAGGAATAAAATGTTTTTAAATGTTTACTATTCTGTAAAAATAAAAACATAAAGTGTTTTTAAATGTTTACTATTCTGTACGAATACTAACTAGACATGGAAGGAATATAAACTCTGGCCACATCCGAGTCGATAATATGAAAATCAAATGAACGGAAACATACAAGTACTTGGGTGCAAACTTCAACTGCTTCCAACATGCTGAGAGAAGAAATACAATCTAGAATACAATTTAGAAATAAAGTATACTATGCCCTTCAACATCTGCTAAAGCCAAAGTGTCTGTCCCGCAACACCAAGATCAAAATATATAAAACGTTGATAGGACCAGTCGTTTTATATGGCTCTGAAACTCAAAGCAGAAATGAAAAAGATGAGGCCTTATTACAGGTTTTCAAAAACAGTCTTACGAAAAATCTTTGGACCCATCAAAGATGCTAACAGCGGGAAATGGAGAGTAAGAAGCAACATCGTAACACATAATCTGTTTAAATCACCATTGATCACTGGCATCATGAGAGCTAACAGACTAAAATTGTTAGGGCATATTGAAGGAATGGCAGATGACAGAGAAGTAAAAACTGTATACACCTGAGAGAGGAATGGGCGTAGACCACGAGGCAGACAAAAAAGAAGTTCGAGAGATAATGTTCAGCCAGACCTGCAAACTACTTGTGTCACAAATTGTGAAGAGAAGGCCAACCAGAAAGATGAATAGAGACGAGTGATATCTGCAGCAGTAAACCTCAAGGGCTCAGAATGCTAAAGAAGAAGATGACTGTTCTGATCTACTTTATGTGAAGTAAAAGTTCAGCGTACATTTGACATTATAAATGTGTGGGTGTTTTTTTTAAAAGATATATTTCATACACTATTCACTATTCGTATTCATATTCGGCCGAATAGTGAAAAACACTATTCGGTACAGCCCTAATAAGTAAATATAGCATTCTGAATGCCCAATGGTCATTTTTAGTACCGTCCATAACGTGAAGCCATCGCTGGCACAACAGAAATAAAATAAAAATCCACATGAAATCCACAAAATACAAACATATGACCATATGTACTGACATAAAGAAACAAAGCAGCCTATACTCTAACCCAAAGTGTACCAAACTAACGCATGTTTAATAGACATGAACCAACCATCACAATGCAAAGCCAACAGTAACAAACTGACCTAATAATGTATGCAACTGTGTCAGCATGGCAAGAATGCTGGGAATATTTTTCACTTCCTGCTCAAGATGGCCGACAGATTCAGCATGCTTCTCCCATTTTTTCAAATATGGAGTCAAAAGTGTTGAAGCTTCCTGCAGAAAATAGGAAAGGAAAATAACAAAACCATACAAAACATAATTTTTACTGATTTTCTTCTTCTTCTTCTTCCTTTCTCTTCTTTTTCTTCTCCTTCCTATTCCTTCCACTTCTTCTTCTTCTTCCTTTCTTATTCCTTCCACTTCTTCTTCTCCTTTTTCTAATTCCTTCTACTTCTTCTTCTTCCCCTTTTACTTTTTCTCCTTCTTCGTCTGTCTGTTATCCCTCAAACCAACTCACAGCAAATCGTTCTATCCTTTGCTTTTGCATGCAGCTTACCCCATGTCCTTTCCCTTGTCTTATCGATGCTCTCTAACTCCTTTTCCATGTGTTTTTGGCCTGCTTTTATTTCCATGTTCTTTGGGTTCCAGTGCAAAGACACTCTAGTAATACTGTTTTCAGGTTTTCTCAATCTTGAATTAAGAATGAACTTCATAGCACTTGTGACACTCCCATAAGTGCTTATTCCCCATCTTCAGCAGCAAGCAAAGATTTTAATTTTGATGGCACCAGGAACTGTTTGCATATCCGTCTCGCCTTTCCCTTGAATGTTGAGCATGAGCCAAATCCCCTAGTAACTCCTCACGGCGCCACTCTCCTCAGACCGTAAAGATCTATCTGTGCCTCCTCACTCGGTCACAAAGAGCCCCCCAAACATCAAGCTTGTCATACATAAATTCACCATCAGAAGATGCATAACTGGCCAGTCTGTCTGCCTGCTCATTTCCCAACACACCGGCATGACCTGGAAAAAATATCCAAAGGATGCTAACTACCAGGAAGCTCTGAAGTGATGTCGGCCACTCTCAACGTGTGTCATAGCCAATGCCAGCATCTTTTCTTCACCTCTTGGTCCCTTTACAGATTTTTAATCAATCAATTCTCACAGATTTTACTGACCAAAAAAAAAAAAATAAACATCACAGCACAATGCGAATACCTGCAGATGCTTTGTCTTCTGCAGTAAATGTTTTAAAGCGGCACATAGGGCAGAGGTTATAGCTCTTGGTGTCTGGTGTTCATTGCCACTTCTTTTAGGTCATCGATATTCATTAGCCCCATGGTTGAGCTTTCCTTGGTGATGGTTCAACACAGGGCATCTCTCTTGGTCTTCTAGAAACATCACCGTTTTAAAGTAAAGATCCGATCTGAAGATGAAGACAGAACGCTTATGGGAATGTCCATGGCCAAGGCCTTGCGAGTCCGACTCATAATTTCAACGTACCGTGATCGAAACCCACAGCTGGCTGCGTGGATTTTTATTATGGTATGGGGCATCATAGGTGGACCCAGCCTAAAATGGGTACCAGGATTTATGTCTTGGGGAAGTAAAGACGGCCGGCGTGATGCTGACCATATTACCCATCTAGTGCCGATTGGTCTGTAAAAATATCGGTGCTCTTCCCATATGCCCGATGCGCCTAAAGTGTAAAAATGGATCTTTACTTTTTTGTACCAGCGTGCCGTGATGTCATTTCTTAGGTCAACACTCTGGACATAAAAGTGGAGGAATGTAAATAATGTCTGTCTTACCTTATGTCCAAAACTTAAATGAAAAACAATGAAACATGTAAATGAAAGAAAACAAAAGCGAGAGACAGACAACCAACCTCTGCCTTCTTTGCAGATTCTCGTGTTTCTGTTTCAATAGATGACCAGTTCTTTTGGTAGCTGAAATTAAAATTGAAACCTATTTATGAGATACCTATACACATACATGTCATTGAAATGCCTGAAACAGTATATGTCATTTTGGGTTTATCTGGGTCAAGACTTGACATCACAGCATTCAGGACAAACCCATATTAGCTCTACCTCCTTCTTCAACAGTCAGTGAAGTGTCTCCTTTCTGGTGGCACCTGTTGTCATCTGGTTAACTATTCATCTTGCTCCCCAAAACATATACATGTCTATGAAAGACCTAAATCGATATATGTCCTTCTGGGTTTATCTGTGTAAAGATTTGACAAAACAAACATTCTAGGAAAAGCCCATATTAGTCCTGACTCCTTCCTGAACAGACAGATAAGAGTCTCCATACTGATCTTCTTCTTCTGCCTTTCTAACCCCCAATGGAGCATAGGCCTTCAACCAACTCACGCTAAGTCGTTTTATCTTCTGCTATCACTTGCAGCTCTCTTCCATGTCCTCCCCATCATTCTAACTTCATTCTCCAGCTTCCTTCTTCGTGTGTTTTTTGGCCTTCCCTTATTCCTATGCCCCTGTGGGTTCCAATGCAAAGACATTCTAGTTATATTGTTCTACGATTTCCTCAATGTGTGTTCCTATCCAAAGCCATACTGATGGTGCCTGGTTAACGTCTCGTTCCCCCTCCACCACCTGGCCGAGTCTCGAGTGGCACCCACAGCCCACAGTCACTCCCTGCTGCATCATTCTGGCCAAGTACAGGTTTTCAGTATCTTCCAGTTTACTTGTTACCTGGTCCCACAGGTGGAAGAGATCACCTAGGCCTTGTGCAGTTGCAGTACATGGCCAAGTGGTGCCAATTCAGCATGGCAGATTATAGTGTTAAAAAAACTTAGTTGCATATCCTTTAAAGGACGTTGCAGAACCAACCCCAGCATTAATTGGCTGTTGTGGTTTCTCTAGGCACATTTTTTAATTCATTAGTTTGCCACTGCATCTGAACGGTCGGCTCTTGGTACCACTGTCGAAAACCCAGCGCAAGACAAATCGCCCGCAACGGGATCGAACCCGGCACCCAGGCATAACAAAGCATGTTCGCAACACCTAGGCCACAGACGCTGACATTATAGTGTTACCATTCTTTATATTCCTTGTTCTTATCATTTGTCTATAAAACCACATCTCCACCGTCTCCACTACATTACCAGAACAAGCATGTCATTTGGCAGTGGTTCCCAAACTTTTCTTGGTCGCTGCACTTTTTTTTCACTTAAAATTTGTCCACGGTGCCCTAACCTAAGTTACAGTATGACTATTCGTAAGTAGTAAAGTAAAGATCCCTTTCACACCTTTAGGCGTATCGGGCATATGGGAAGAGCGCCCATATTTTTACAGACCATCAGCACTCGGTGGGTAATGTGGTCAGCATTACGCCGGCTGTCTTTACTTTCCCAGGACAGCCCATCCTGGTACCCATTTTAGGCTGGGTCGACCTGAATTAATTATGAAGCTTTTACAATATTTCACGGCGCCCCTGCGGCGAACAGTTTGGGAACCACTGTCATATGTCAATGACTGGATAGCCAAAAATGTGAATATAGAATAGAAACATGTGTTTTAACAGAAGAAAAAAAACATAAATGAAAGTAATGAGATAAGCAGTTAGGAGATAATCATATGACAATGCCAATAAATTTAAATGACTCTTCTAGGGAACATTACCAATGCAAAAGATCTGCCCCTGTGTCCAGACTGACCTCCCTTGCTTTTAAACTCTGAAGTGGGTCATATCGTGAGTTATTATCCAATGAGGTTAGTGCACGCAAGCTGCAAAAAAATATATATTCACTTTCTTAATATTTTAACACAAATTGACTATTTAATTACAGAAATGGTTTGGATACCTAATGAGAATGATCCAACACTGCCAGCAGCAGGAGCACACAACATGATCATGTCACAGTCTATTACTCTGTTCTGTTCTATCCTGTGCAATCTCTTGGATATCACAGATGGAATCCCAATCTAGCATCCTTGGCCTCTCTTATCAATATCCAATTTAGGGTTTCTTTTGGACTTCCTCAATCCATTTATTTCCCATTATTGTGCCTGTTTGCTGATTCTCTGCTGGTGTCTTCTCAGGATGTGTCCAGTACAGCGGCAGCATCTTTGTCTTATAACTGTTGTTACCAGTGATTGTCAGAAATACTTAGGTAAGAGGAGTTACAGTGGTGGAGCAGCTAGATGCTAGCCTGCAAATCAGAAGGTCGTAGGTTCGCTCCCTGGCGGCGCCGGACTTTTGTCAAAATTTACCTTGGCTCCCAGGTCGACCCAGCCTAAAGTGAGTACTGGGTGCAGTCCCAGGAAGTAAAGGCGGCCAGCGTGATGCTGACCACATCACCCATCTCGTGCCGATTAGTCTATAAAAATATAGGTATAGACCCTATATGCCCTTTATGCCTAAAGGTGTGGAAAAGGCTCCTTCACATTTACTTTTTACTATTGTTAGTAAAGGACCATTTTCCACACCTTCAGGCATATAGGGCTAGACTGATATTGTATAGATCATTGGGCACTTAGTGGGTGATGTAGTCAGTATCACACCAGCCACCTTTACTTTCCAGGACCTCACCTGGTACCCACTCAAGGCTGGGTTGACATGGGAGCCAAGGTCATTTTTGAAAAAAAATCTGGCTATGTCAGGACTTGAATGCGCGACCTTCAGTTTTGCAGGCGAGGGTCTAGCTGCTACGCCATGATGACCCCCAGGCATATTGTGCTAGACCCATATTGCTTTTATAGACCACTCTGCACTCAGTGGGTCACAACTATGAACATCAACCATGTCTATTTTTTTCAGGACATTTCATCATCATCATCAATCGACACTCAGTGGGTCAGACTATGATCATTACAGCAGCCAATTCTATTTTTTCAAGACATTTCATTATCATCAATCGACACTCAGTGGGTCAGACTATGATCATTACAGCAGCCACTTCTATTTTTTCAAGACATTTCATCATCATCAATCGACACTCAGTGGGTCAGACTATGATCATTACAGCAGCCACTTCTATTTTTTCAAGACATTTCATCATCATCATTATCATCAGTATGTCTGCCCTGCTTTATACTTCTTCCTTCATCAACTATTGCACACATGGTCAGCCTGTCAGCTCTTTCATTTCTTTTCACACTGGTATGTACAACACAATGGTTCTGGCCTCTTTACTTAAAAAAAAAAAAAAAACACTTTCTTGGTCTTAAGGACTGTCATGACTGATGAAGCAGATGCCACTTGGTTCTTTTAACTGCACTATGTTGACAGCATTCAATATACAAGAGCCTGTTTCACTGCTCTAATTCATAATTATGATAACTGTTATTTGCACTTTAATCTGGATCAAGACTCATTCAACAACACAGCGTTCAGGACAAGCCCAAATTAGCTCCGCCTCCCTCCTCAACAACCAATAAAGATTGAAGTCTCCATACTGACGGTACCCACTGTCATCTGGTTGACCCGTCTTTCCTTTCCACAGACAGTCTCGAGTGGCATCCGGAGCCCACAGGCCCTCTCCGCTGCATCATCATCTCCGAGTACGTATCCTACGAAATATCAGACCACAGTGTGCAACTGGCAACTGCAAGAGCCAAACAAAAAGAAATTGTAATGTATCCATTCTTCATTAATTCAGTTTCTCGGTCTGCTTAGACAGGCTTTGAATAACTAAAGTTGAGAAAGTGCAGGCAGTCTATTCCGTGCTAGAATGAGAGAGAAATGGTAGAAGAACTTCTTCTAGAAGAAGTGAGATTTCATAAATTATGATAATATTATTAGGTCATTAGCATTGACATTAGACAAGAAAACTGCTAGGCTGCTAGCTATCAAAGCAATCTTACCCGTCAACCAGATCTTGCTGTGCATGTTGAAACGTGCCTTTTAATTTCTTAAACATGCTCATGTTTGTAATATCGTAACACGTTGTATAACTGCAACAGGGAAAGAAACGGCCAAACTACAATAACGGTAGATAACAGATAAGATAAACACGAAATCTCCGTTTGTTTTCTATCAGTCAACTGTTTCTGTAATCCATCTTGTTGGTCACATGACTTTATTTTCGCATGTGACTTCTGCGGGAAAATTTGAATGCAAGAAGAAACGAAACTAATTTGTAATCGTCATCACCATCGCCATTATCATCGTCAACACTATTTTGTCCAGTTTATACAATGCTTGGGGTTCACAATCTGGTCACATCGGCGACCTGATCGCCCACTGGATCGCCGGTAGAGGACTTGGTCGTTGTTCTGGACGGTGTTTTGGTCTATAGCTCCAACTCTGCAAGAGTTCTTTTCAGGGCTACTTTGTGGCGAGCAATGCTAAGCCATTTTAAATATCACACATAACCGAGTCACATTTATAACCGAAAGCTCCCCCATCTGAGGATGCTTGTTCAATGTGACGATTTTCCCCCTCGAAGCAAGCCAAGTCACCTCTGGTCCGCTATTCATAACCTCTAAACGGCATAATAGGCCTCTTGGAAAATATATCTCTCCCTCCAAACAGACAGTCGAATATAGTAAGTTGTGGTTGATAGGCTGCATGCAGTCGTAGGTCCTAGGCTGCATGCAGTCGTGGGACCTAAGCTTCAGTCTCTTGTGGAACATAGGGGGGTTGGGGTTAGGCCCAGTTCTAGATGTTATCATACCGTATATGGAATCCAATCCAACACCTTTCTCAGTCGACCGAGGAAAAAAGGCCCGGAGAGGTGCCGGACTGATCAATCCCTTTTCCTCGAGCTCGTGGGTTCGTTTCACATCGACGTCGTTCGATTCACGGGTGCATCGTTTACGGAGATGGAATAGGCATCGTCGCCGGCGCTACAGAGTTTGGGCTGCTTGCGACACTCTCTTCAAGCAGCTAGTCGTTTAGTGGTAAGAGACAGAGCCATATGAGGTCAAACCCAATGCAATGAGGTCGATCCTCTCACCTTTAACCTTTGTTCTCTCGAGAACATTCGTCTTAGTGTTACTCTTGCACATCCTCCTCTCCGCAGTCAATTTTTGTTTCCCATTCCCTTTTTTTAAACACTTTGTGGTGAGTTCCAGTACCCTTTTAGACACTTTGTGATGGGTACCGATACCTTTTTAGACATTTCGGGGTGGGTACCGATACCTTTTTAGACACTTTGTGGTGAGTATTGGTACCTGTTTAGGCACTTTGTGGTGAACACCGATACCTTTTTAGACACTTTGTGGTAAGTACTGATACCTTTTTAGACACTTTGTGGTGAGTACTGATAACTTTTTAAACACTTTGTGATAAGTACCGATACCTTTTTAGACACTGTGGTGAGTACTGATAACTTTTTAAACACTTTGTTATAAGTACCGATACCTTTTTAAACACTTTGTGGTAAGTACCGATACCGTTTTAGACACTTTGTGGTGATTACTGATAACTTTTTAGACACTCTGTGGTGAGTCATCATCATGTAGCAGGTCCTTTGCAGAACGTCGCTCTCATCACAGTCTGCCTGTAAGAAACTCGGTCTCTTGCCAGTTCCCCGCCTCATGAACTTTCACACTCAAGGAGTCACTTATATCCTGTGCCCATCTTCATGTTGGTCGGCCCCTGCCCCTCCTTCCTGGTACCATGCCTTCTGCTATAATTTTTTCCAATCTGTCGTGGCGCTTGATATGACCAAAATATTTCAGCTTTCGAGAAAGGATGCTGTTTATTAGCCAATCTTCCTTGATGTTCAGATCTTTTAAGATGTCAATATTTCTCATCTTCTTTGTCCAAGATATTCTGAGAATCTTTCTATAGCATTTCAGCTCAAAAGCCCCTATTCTCTTTCTTAAGGACTGAGAGATAGTCCACGACTCACATCCATATGTAGCCACAGGGAAGATGCATGCTCTCAAAATTCTAATTTTTATCTCCTTGCTGGTGCTTAACCAGACTTTTGAAGGCTGTGGTGAGTACTGATAACTTTTTAGACACTTTGTGGTGAGTACTGATATTTTTTTTTAGAAACTGTTGTGGTGAGTACCTGTTCAGACACTTTTTTGAGTACCGATACTTGTTTTAGACACTGTGTGGTGTACTGATAACCTTTTTGACACTTTATTACTGATATTTTTTTTTAGAAAAACTGTGTGGCAAGTACCAATACCTTTTCAGACACTTTGTCGTGAGTACCGATACTTGTTTTAGACACTGTGTGGTGAGTACTGATAACTTTTTAGACACTTTGTGGTGAGTACTGATATTTTTTTTTAGAAACTGTGTGGCAAGTACCAATACCTTTTCAGACACTTTGTCATGAGTACCGATACTTGTTTTAGACACTGTGTGGTGAGTACTGATAACCTTTTTGACACTTTATGGTGAGTACTGATATTTTTTTTAAGAAACTGTGTGGCAAGTACCAATACCTTTTCAGACACTTTGTCGTGAGTACCGATACTTTTTTTAGACACTGTGTGATGAGTACTGATAACTTTTTAAACACTTTGTGGTAAGTACCGATACCTTTTTAGACACTTTGTGGTGAGTACTGATAACTTTTTAGACACTTTGTGGTGTGTACTGATACCTTTTTAGACACTTTGTGGTGAGCACTGATAACTTTTTAGACACTTTGTGGTGAGCACTGATAACTTTTTAGACACTTTGTGGTGAGTAATAATAACTTTCTTTGACACTTTGTGGTGAGTATTGATAGATTTTTATAAACTTTGTGGCAAGTACTGATACCCTTTAGACACTTTGTTGTGAGCACCGATACTTGTTTTAGACATCTTTTATTATAATTTTTTTTTTTTTTACTCGGGGAAACAGATCTGATAACAATTGGTTTTTTTTTTTTTCCTTTTTACCGTTGACACAGACCGTTGTCCAGACATTTCTTTGACTGCTTGACTGTCTTCTATGTGTCCCATTTAATGTAAATGAAAATAGCCATCATCATCAAGTGCCTTGTCGACTGACATTGGCGAAAGTGCCTGTCCACAATCTGCGATCTTTAACAGCATGTATTAGTTTGTCTGCTGAGACTCTTCCATATCATGACAAAAAGCTGTCAAGAATCGTATCGTGTTGTCTTCCACCGTCTCTTTTTCCACAAAGCTTTCCACTGTTAGTAGTAGCAAAAGTATTTATTGCTGACACCTTTCCGTCTTTCTAGACAAGTGGCTCTCAACCTTCCTAATGCCGCAACCCTGTAATACAGTTCCCTCGTGTTGTGGCGACCCACGAACAATTATTTTCCTTCAAAACTTCAATGAATTTATGTTTTCCGATGGTCTTAGGCGACCCCTGTGAAAAGGGTCGTTTGACATAAAACATTATCGCAACCGGCAGGCTGAGAACCGCTGTTCTAGACGATAGTGTTATACTGTGCAATGAAGAGGCATGGGACTGACAGCCCATGGCGATGGCAAGTGTGACTGGCAAGACCCGCTGTTGCCATCACATTCATTTAGTTTGTGTCTTCTCAGACCCTCAGCTCTCATCCATTGTGCACTAATTTTTACCTTCACTCTCATTGTCTTCCTGAATTGCTCCCTCCATGCAACACTGTCCATGGCATTTTTTTTCCACAAGTAGTACAGGGACGGTTTCTCGAGAGAAAGAGTGGGAGAGAGAGAGAGAAGGAGAGAGAGAGAGGGGAGAGAGAAAGCAAGAGCTGGAGAGAGAGAGCATGCAGAGAGAGAGAACGTGTGGGAGAGAGAGAGAGCAGGAGAGAGAGAGAGAGAGGGAGAGAGAAAGCAAGAGCTGGAGAGAGAGAGCATGCAGAGAGAGAGGGAGAAAGAGTGAGAGCAGGAGAGAAAGCGGGAGAGAGAAAGAGAGAGAGCGCAGAGAGAGATAGAGAGAGAGAAAGTGTGGGGGGAGAGAGAGAGAAAGTGTGGGGGGAGAGAGAGGTGGAGAGAGGTGGATGAAGACAAATCGATTCTGAACATTCTTTGATCATGACATGAAAGGGGATGTCAGTCGTAAAAGGCTACTAGGGAGTTTGCTGAAATCAGAAGTGTTGGCTTGAAATGCTGTTCCCCCTCTCCTAAATCCCTTTCCCAAAACTTTCACGTTTTCTGATTTAATAAAATTTGGATTGTAGAAATCTGAATGTCATTACCATTTAATGTTTCAGTCGTTAGGCTGAACATAATGCTTTCTCATCATTTTATGTTCTGTAAAGAACAAGAAGCAAAGGAAGAGGAAGAAAATATTGTGCAAAAAAAAAAGGAAAAGGGAGGAGGAGGAGAAAGAGAAGAAGAGGATGAAGAAGAAGATGAAAGAGGAAAAAGGAGAAGTAGAAAAATAAACAAAAAAAGAAGAAAAAGAAGAAGACAAAAAACAAGATGACCAAAACAATGCACTCAAGATAGTGACAGAGCAGTACAATATAACTCAAGATATGTGACAGAGCAGTACAATATAACTCAAGATATGTGACAGAGCACTACAATGTAACTCAAAATATGTGACAGAGCAGTACAATATAACTCAAGTTATGTAACAGAGCAGTACAATATAACTCAAGATATGTGACAGAACAGTACAATGTAACTCAAGATATGTGACAGAGCAGTGCAATATAACTCAAGATATGTGACAGAACAGTACAATGTAACTCATTATATGTGACAGAACAGTACAATGTAACTCAAGATATGTGACAGAACAGTACAATGTAACTCAAGATTTGTGACAGAACAGTGCAATGTACCTCATAGTATGTGACAAAACAGAGCAACATTCGGGTGAGTTTTTTAAAAAAATGTATGCCATACCAAAAACAAGTGAACGGATTTATTAAAAAATTTTTTTTATTTAATCAACATCACTAACTGAAAGGCACTGACTAATTCAACGATGAAGTCATCAAAGTAAATTTTTGGGTACAGCAAATCAGTTAATAGTTTAATGGTTCCAGCAACTTTTCTAACATGAAGTTAAGTTAATTAAGTTTCTTTTTCTTGGTGATTGGCACATTCATTGTGGTTTACAGCTTGACTGTGATATCTGTGCCTTTCAGTCCAACACACCCAGTTTCAGCAAATCCTTAATTAGTCAAATTTTACCAGATGCTTCTCAAAGGGGCAGTGGGTCTATATCCACACCCCTCCCCCCCCCAACCCCAACGGTGCCTCTGAGCCCACATGGGGAGAGTACCTTCAGTAAATTAGGGTAATTTTTTTTTCATCACGCTCACAGTTTTAAACTCTGGCAGAAAGTTCTGGTTGTTTGTCCACTTCTAGACTTTAATCTTGTTCCAGAAAAGTTGTGCATCATCATAATCATGTGCCCTGCCAACTGGCGTAGGCGCTCATGCCTCTCCACAGGTCACGATCCTTGGTTGCCTGGAACCGCTCTCTTGATCACTATCTATGCCATCGTTTCAGCCCATCCAGAATCATATCTTTTTCTGCCTCTACCCCTTTTCCACTGATTTTTCCAGTTGTCACGAGGTTCACCAATATCTCTATTCTCATTATGTGATCAAAGAACAGTGTTTGTCTCTTTCTTATTAATGTATACAGAGAGCTACTTTCATTAGCCTCTTTCAAACAATCGTTAGTTACTCTGGCCGTCCAAGGTATTCGTAACATTTCCAGGCATAAAAAAGTACATGTTCTACACAGCACATTCACACCCTCTTTCTTATTGTAACATTTTACTGGTAAGTTTTTTTGCCTTGTAAAAGGTTACCTTTGCCATGACGATTCTTTCGCCTTGACAATATTTACCTACAACACGACCTTGTGACCAAGAGGAGGCAGATATTCAGAGCTTTGATTCCACCGTCAGACCAGCCAACTCCTCCTCCACGAAGAGAGATGGAAACTTCTTAGGCATCATGCGGTCAGGCTCATGATCTGGATCGCAGCGGTACTTGACAAAATCTGTGACACCTTCTGATCTTAGATAATCTTCATCAATCAAGACCTTCCCATTCAGCCTGTAAGATATGAAACCAGACAAACAAACAAGAATAACTTTGATAAGAGCTGATAAAACTAATGTTTATTGATGTCAAATAGTACAGTGGTCAGTTGGGGCTGCGTGGTCTCGGGGCATGGCATCCGCCTTCAAGTGCTAGAGGTCCCGGATTCAAGCCACGGTGAAGGCTGGGATTTTTTTTTTACGTGGACTTCTAGTAATTTCCACTGGTCTGTGGGTAGTAGGATCAGACGCCAGTGTGTATTGTTGCGCACATAAAAAATACATTGGGAGTTGGATATCGAAAAATAATAGCCTAACAGCGCTACCCAGGCAAAATTTGGAGTTAAAAATCTACCCAAAGTATTTTGGGATCATCGCCGGTGCTGGAGAGTTCATGCACTGCGCTGAGATTCTTCAGACTCAGGCTTGAGTCAGAAGTAGAATGGAACACTTATGGGTTACTTCCATTGTGCTATCATGTTGACCCATCGTCTAAACTAGTGAGTTCCAAACTTTGCCGTGACTTCTTCACAGGGGCGCAGCGAAATATTGTAAAAGGTTCATAATTAATTTAATCAAGTCATACTTTTACTTAGGTTAGGGCGCCGTGGAAAATCTTTAACTAAAAATGGCATCGCAACCAAGGACAGTTTGGGAAACACTGGTCTAAACCATCATTGGTCAGTGTACTTATTAATGACAAGGTGACTTGGCTTTCAGATCTCAGCAGTGGCAGTATTTGGAGTCCTAACCCCCTAGCTCCCCCCCCCCCCCACTCCAATCATATATATTCATGGCATTGTGGTGCTGGGGTGTCTGTGGATTACCTACCTCCCCGGGCAGCAGCTAGAAATGCCCTGTACCAGTTCTAAAGGAAATATGGGTTGTGTTTCTGCCTTTCCCTTTAACACGTAGCACAGTGTGCTCATTCCCGCCACCAGATTGCCTGCAGGTTTCGCTGAGCTCTTCAGTCTCTAAGCATGGCCTAAGCATGAGTAGTTGGGGCAACTGGATCGTCACGTCCTGAGTCCTGTGACTTCACGATAGTTTCCGTGTATTCAGGGGGGTTAGCCCATACTTGTTTTCCATTCCTAAGACTCCAGCACACCTCTGGCTCCTTCCCTCCCACCAGTACGGTGTGGTTTGCACCGGGTTTATTCCCCTCCTCTAGATCCATTGGTGTTTTGCCTGGGATTCGCACCCCAGTTACCGGGGACCCCGGGGAGGCTGTGACTCCGCCCGCACAATGGTCCCCCCCCCCCCCTGCTAGGGTCAAGAGGCCCCCACAATGGAAAGCTCCTTTCCCCAATATATTCACCCCTTAGGGTGAAGTAAGGGGGGAACCCCCACACCCCTTCTTACCCCTCCCTCCGAGGCCCCCCCCCCACTCCAATCAAGATGTCTCTAACCTGGATTATGACAAACTAATGATATTCATACATAACACAATCACAGCATCATCTAAGACAGTGGCTCTCAACCTTCCTAAAGCCGCGACCTTTTAACACAGTTTCCTCATGTTGTGGCGACCCTTTAATACAGTTACCTCATTCAGTGGTGACCCCCAAACAAGTATTTTCCCTTATAACTTCAATGAATATGTGTTTTTTTGGTCTTAGGCGACCGTGAAAAGGTCGTTCGACCCACACACAAAAGGGTTGCAACCTGCAGGTTGAGAACCACTGATCTTTGAGCTAGGACAGGCACAATATGCAAATAAGAAAAGAGACCAAGTAAACAATTTATCAAATTTTGTAAGAAAGTGTCGCTGGAACTACATCGGTCATGCAGTCAGAATGGATAAGACAAGACTCCCCCATCAAGCCCTCATACGGACACCGGAAGGGAACAGAAAACGGAGAAGGCCAAGAGAGACCATGTGCCACCATTCGGATGAGAATTGCCCAGGCATAAGTCCCAGAAACCCAGTTCAACCATTAGGTTGTATTTAGGGCCTTGATGACAGCTGGGGTGAAGCTTTAAAATAAAAATAAAAAATTGCGTCCCATATTGGGGCAAGGCTGGGATATAACTATAACTATAGTAGGCTGGATGTAGAAATTGTTTTATTCTCTCTCTCCCTTGTTGTACCCCATCAGGACATCACACAAGCGATAAACAGCCGGTGACACAAAGTGCCACCATGCGGATGAGGATCACCTGTGCAGAGGTCCCAGAAACCCCTTTCAGCGGTTAAGCCATAATAATGGCCCTGCTATATTCAGAGCTCCCGACAAAAGCCAGATTGGGGCTTCAAGCAAACAAAAATTTTTTCCTAGATGGGGACGACTATAACCTTGTATATAACTATAACTACAGTAGGTTGAATGTGGAAATTGTTTTACTGACTGACTGACTTTCTACCCCACCAGGACATCACACAAGCGACAAACACCCGATGACACAAAGTGCCACCATTTGGATAAGGATTGCCGTGGAGAGGTCCCATAAACAGCGTTCAGACAATTGGCCATATTTATGGCGTGCCTATATTGCGGCCCCTGGCAAAAGCCAAGGTGGGGCTTCAAATAACAAAAAATTTCGTCCTAAAAAGGATGAAATACTACTATTACTTCTTTTTTTATTTTTTCCTAAAATGAACATGGTTTCAGACAGGCAGTTAAAGCATCTTTTGAAAAATATCTGATTTCACGCTGAATCAAACCTTAAACCTTTATGTTGGCAGGCAAGCCTCTAGTGGCTATGCCACCATAGTTCCTGTTACCCTAAGATAAAGGACATGACTCTCTACAGTAAAGAGTTAAAAAAATAATGAGAGTTTTACAACAGTGCAAAAATGATGAGAGTTAAATCCCTTACTTCTCAGTTTTCTCCTCAGAAATTCCTAAGCATGCGTCTGCAAAAATGGTTGCTTTCCGCATCTGACTTGGCGGTACATTTTGGACTGTGGTCACCTGGCTTTCGATAACTGTAGCTGGCCATATACCACTTATAGACACTCCTGGGATAGGAAGAGACACAGGCAAACAATTTAGAATAGAACTATGCAGGGAAGACAAAAAAAAATAAACAAATAAGGAATAAAAAGAAAATATACGGATAAAAACATGAGGAATTGGAAGAGAATTCAAATAATGAATAAGGAGCATATACAAATAGATAAACACATCATAAACATGAAGGGAATACAAAAAAATAAATATGTCAGGAACAGGAAGAAAACAAGATAAATAAATCAGGAAGAGGAAGGGAACACCAGATATGTCCAGGGCCATTAACGTATCTGTCAATCCCTCTCCACCAAAAACAGGGTTGACAGATTCTGTTTCCTGGGGAATTTTTTTTTTTTTTTTTTTTTGAGTTGCCCCTCAACAACAGTTTGAATCAAGGAACTCCCTGTGTGGCTTCCAGAACCCCATTGTAGGGGGAAACAAGAATACCCACTGCCTCCCCAACAAGCATGTTGTAGGAGTCGACTCATTGGGGGCATCTTTGGAAGTCAGGATTGTATTTGCCTGAGAAGCAAGGAACCAGCGGTTTGCATCAAGTGTTTCAAATCTGTGAAATGGATGTGCTTGCAACACTAAAGGTTCTGGAGCAAGACTAAAGACCAGAGCTGGATGAGCAGCCAGAACATCCCACCTGGGTTTAGAGCCAGTGAACAAGAAGAAGAAGAAGAAGCAGAACAAGAAGATGCAGAAGAACAAGCAGAAACAGCAACAAAATAATAATATTATTAATAATAAGAAGAAGAAGAAAGAAGAAGAAGAAGAAAAAAGAAGAAGAAACAAAAGAAGAAACAAAGTTTAAAAAAATAATAATAAGCAATTTGAAACAAGAAAAAAAAAATTTTTTTATGAAGAAAAAAAAAAGAAAAAAATATCAGAAGCAGGAAAGCAAAATTAAAACAAACAGATGAACAAGTCTCTGACAGAAGTCCTCCAATTTTTCATCATGATTTTGGATGACGATGATGACGACAATGGTGAAACAGCTAAAAGAAATAAATACAACACAAACAATGTTTCACCTGTGCCGACAAGTTCATTTGCTAGGACCATGGACCAATACACTCATGGCCACTTTCGTCATTGAGTACGGGGTTTTACCTTTGAAAAATCTACTCAAAGTATACAATTAATAATTTCAGAACCAAACTAGAAGAGATCATATGACAAAAGAAGAAATTACAAGAACTACAAAACAACATGTATAATTAAATTCACAAAAACAAAACAAAATCGACTGAAATAGTTTGGCTATTTAATGAAAATGAATCTAATGATGGCAGATACGAGAGCTTACAACATGAAAGTAGAAACACTTAAATGTAGGGGATGACCAAGAAGGAGATGGACTGAAGGAGTCACTGACAACCTGAGACTCCACAACATCACAGCCTAACTGGCAACCGAGCATACCCTAGCCTGGAAACCGATTATCTGTTAAGCTGCAACGGCCAGCAGAACAAAGCAGATGACAAACAGAAAAAAGAAGAAATTCTCAAGAAAACTGTCATACAAATTCAAAGTTCACATGAATAGCAATGAATAATAAAAATAGAACATATACACCCACACAATACATATATTTATATATGTATATACATAAAGGTAAAGTAAAGATCCATTTTTACGCCTTTAGTCACATCAGCCATTTGGAAAGAGCACCTCATATTTTTACAGACCAATCAGCACTAGGTGGGTAATGTGGTCAGAATTACGCCGGCCGTCTTTACTTTCCCAGGACATACATCCTGGTACCCATATTAGGCTGGGTTGACCTGTGATGCCCCACACTATGATAAACATCCACGCAGCCAGCAGTGGGTTTAGGACGCAGTACATTGGAATTACGAGTTGGACTCGCAACACCAAAGCCACGGACACCATTATATATATATATATAATATATATATATATAACTAGCAGTGCTGGTAAAAGTAGGCTGTCATGTCTGACCATCTCATGATTGGATCAGGTCAATGTTCTTGTATCACACCATCCATGTGGCCAAGCCAATTAGGTATTTATCGCTTTGCCAGCCTCTTGTTCTCTTTCCATCAATCATGCCAGTGTTTGTGCAGTTCTCGAGTCCAATCCTTCGTACAATGTGACCAAAAATCCCAAACTGGCTACGTCCAATCATCCCAAGTTACAAACACACATAGTTAGTTATATAGTAACTAACAATGATTGCTTGAAAGAGGCTAATGAAAGTAGATCAACAATAAGAAAAAGACAAACACTTATTTGGCCATATAATGAGAAGAGAGTCATTGGAGAACATCGTGATAACTGGACAGATCAGTGGTAAAATGGGTAGAGGAAGAAGAAGAGAGATGATGCTGACTGGGCTGAAACGATGCCATGGAGGGATATCATCAAGAGAGGTGTTCCAGGCAACCAGGGATCGTGATCTGTGGAGACGCATGAGCGCCTACACCAGTTGGCAGTCCACATGATGATGATGTCACACACACAATCTCTACCTGAGCCTACAGATTTAGGGCAGCGTGGCTAGTGCTGTCTCCATGGACTGTGGAGGTGTGGATTTTATTTTTGCCCCCGACGGAAAACAAATCCTCAACCTTACCAAGGATTCGAATCTGGATGCCCCGCATAAGAGCCCAGCATTCTAACCGTTCGGCCAGCCACTCTGCATTTCCCAAATAGGGAAACATTACTCTGATTTTCTCAGTGAATAAATCTTCTTCTTCGAATCCTCTTTTTCCCTATGTGGTTTCTAGGGCCCCATTGTGGGGGAAACAAGAATAGACAGACTATCTCCCCAACAAGTATGTTGTAGGAGTTTACTAAATGGGAGCTTTCTTTGACGTCAGAGTACATCTGCCAGAGAGGCAATGAACCAACAGTCTGCGTGCAAATTAGTCAGACCTGTGAAACGGATGTGCAAGTAACACTTAGTTTCTGGAACAGGACTAGAGTCCAGAAGTGGACAAACAACCAGTGCTTTCTGCTGGGGTTTAAAGCTGGTGAACGCAAAGAAGAAGACTTCCTATTTTACTGCTTTGGATGTACAGGGAGATATAAGGTTCTGCCTCTCGCTCTTCTGGCCGCCTTAACCACAGACATACTGTGCTGTTGTAGAATTTCTATGATGTTATCTTTCCATCTTGTTCTTGGTCTACCTTTTGCTCTCATTCTTCTCCTGTTTTGATGTATGCCTAGTATGGTATGGCATCACAAGCCATTCTCTCTAAGTGGGCAAACTTTTTCATTAGCTATATAATCTTGTTCTTCTCCTTCTGTCGTCTCCCTAATACCAGGTTGTAGCCACGTGTCGTGGTTTTATTTATTTGTCTTGTGCTTCTCAGGTGGCATGGGTGATGGATTTGTTTATCTTTTTGCAGGTTTCAGCTACACCATTTATCCATCTCTTTCTTGGTCATACCCTCATTTTCCGCACAGATGTTCTGCTGTAAAAAAATCTCATATGCAGTTTGGTCTGACTGCATTCTTCCCAGATGGCCAAAACATTTTATTCTTTGTCTTTGTAGCCCTGTACCTTCCTGTGTTATTATGAAACCTTACAGAGACAGCACATTTCACTGGTATTTTTCTGGAAAAAAAAAGTAAAGTAAAGGACCCTTTTCCACGCCTTTAGGCGTATAGGGCATATAGGGCTAGACCTATATTTTTATAGACCAATCGGCACAAGATGGGTAATGTGGTCAGCATCACGCCATTTTTCTGTTTTAGTGACCATATTTGGCACTGATAGCAGAAAGTAGGAGGGAGATGCCGTTAACTGTGTAACTAATACCTGTTATAAATGGGCGGGCACACGAGGATTAGACGACCATGTTTGTGCTCCAGCATGTTGGGTAGAACTTCCTGGATCATACAGTACGAGCCACGAGCATTCACTTCGTTCATCAGATCCCATCGCCGTAGTGGTGTTTCAATGACTTTCTTCCATAATACAGCCCCTTAAAAAATATAAATAAATCACTGACAAATCTGCTTGAAGTTCGAACAATGGATCTACATCATGGCATACGGGTGGTAACACATAAGAGCTTTGTTCATCTTCTAACTTAAGTCTGAGTCCGAAGAAGCTCGGCACAGTTCACAGGCTCTGTAGCACCGGCAAGGATCCTGAAATACTTTAGGTAGATTTTAAATTTTGCCCAGGCAGCGCCTTTAGGCTACTCTTTTCTTCTTCTTCTTCTTCACGGTCACCAGCTGTAAACTCTGGTGAAAAGTTCTGGTTGTTCATCCACTTCTGAACTGCAGTCCTGTTTCAAAACCTGAGTGTTGTGTGTGCATCTGTTTTACAGATCTGACTCATTTGTGTGCAGACTGCTGGTTCCTTGCCTCTCAGGCAGATGCACTCCAACTTCGAAGGAAGCTCCCAATTAGTCGACTCTTACCACATGCTTTTGGGTAGGCAGTGGATCTATTCTTGTTTTCCCCATAATGGGGCCCCGGAACCCACACGAGGAGCTACTCTTTTCTATTTCCAACTGCCAAGGGATTTTTTTACGTGCGCAACAATGCACATGGGCGTCCAATATCACTACCCAGAGACCAGGGGAAATCACTAGAAGTCCAAGCCCAGGCCAAAAAAAATCCCCAGCCCTTACCGGGGATTGAACCGGGAACCTTGAGCAATAGAGGCAGACACCATGCCTCGAGACCACGCAGCCCCCAATGACAAATCTATGAATGCTCTGACAGGATGTGGGAAAGTCTGCACTGGGCAGTAGTATACTAATAATAACTACACCAATATTTCAAATCATGGAAACCAATGAACAATGTTAAACCAAATGTGTGTTTGGGTATGCATGCATGTGGGTATGTGAGTGTGCGTGTGTGTGTTCTTCTTGTTCTTTTCTTGTTCTTCTGCCTTCTATCAGGATAACTATGGAGATTCCATATCCTGCTTTAATAGTAGCTTTGAGTGCACATTCATCAGTATAAACATGTATCCATTCTTCGGGGTAGGAATCAATTGTCATTAGCGATTTCATAAGGGCTATTGGGTCGGACTGGTTTCTTTGTCAAGCTTTTCATCAGGACTTCTGGAGCTTTAAAGCTAGCATGTGGTGGTAGGTTTCTTGCAACATTCTCAATGCCTTGACAACTTTCTGGGACGTGGTATGTGTCCTGTATTTCATGTACCAATTGTAAAACTGATTTGTTCTTTTTTCTGTGTTTGTATTCCCAGTTTTCTGAAAGGTGTCTACTAGGATGGCTCGAATACTTTCTAATGAATCTTTAATAAATTTCTGAAGTGTTTTTTTTTTAATCAGCAACCCCAGGGGTTCCACATTTGTTCCACAGATGTCACATGCAGCAGTTGGGGTAGACTGCATAGCTCCGCAGATTAATCGGAGGGCATTATTTTGAACTCTCTCAAGAGTCTCTAGGTTAGTTTTGGAGCAGGCTGTTGTGGAGCAGTGAGTTATTAAACTCTTATCACAGAGCGAACATATCCAAGATACAAGCCCGTCAGAGTTTCCTTGTCTGATCCCCAAGCTGTATATGCAAGTCTCTTCTATAACTGTAACTGCCTCAATGTGTCAAGTGTGACTCCAAGGTATGGAGGATGCTCTTCTTTCATCAGTTGGTGTCTGTTTAACCTCAGGTTGATCGGTTTCATATTTCTGTGTTATCAGTTTTGTTGCCTTCATCCATAAACCGGGTACATCAGCAGCAGGGCTCCAAGGATCCCCCAAAGTTTGTCCTCAATGCCTATTCCTTGTACAGTTGCAGTCCTGATGAGGCCGAATTTAGGAAAACAAAAATAAATTTTGCTTCCAGGTCGACCAGCCTTAAATGGGTATTAGGTATAGTCCTGGGAAGTGCAAGTGGCCGGTGTGATGTTGACTGCATCACCCCCTGAGTGCCGATTGGTCTATAAGATACAGGCCTAACCCTATATGCCCAATACACTAAAGATATGAAAAAGCGTCCTTGACCTTCATATTTTTTTAAGCTGACCTTCACTCTTTAAGGATGTTCTTGGTGCTATCATTCCATATTTTGCACGATGTTCCCCTTGCTCCTTGTTCATTTTATATCTTCAGCATGACTTGCTTTGGCAGCTGGTATCGGGGCATTCCTTTTTTAGGTGGCCAAACCATCTCATCAGTTGCTCTTTAATGAACTGTACGACTTTTTTCAGTCCTAGTCTTCTTCTGATTTCTAATTTTTTGTTAGTTGTATATACTGTTGTTTCTCTGGCAGCTCTTTGAATACAACTCATCACCTTTTTTATTTTTTCCCACTCATTGGTTGTAATAAAGGCCCATGTTTGACACTGGTAGCATAAAGTTGGCAAGAAATAATTTTGACAACAAAGCTGTCATTCAGTCCCAAATGAATACATCATATATGTGCTGTACCTGCTAGACACTCGCCTGTGGGTTCAAAGGTCCTGGGTTCAGCTCCTGATGCAGCCAGACTTTTCTTCTTTCCAAAAAATAAAACCTTGGTTGTCAGGTTGACCTAACCTTAAATGGGCACCAGGTAAAGTCCTGGGAAGTAAAGGCAGCTGGCATGATGTTTAACACATAATCCACAGAGTGATAACTGATCTATAAAATACAGCTATAGCACAATACCTGCCTGATATGCCTAAAAGCGTGGAAAAAGTCCTTTAACACCTAAAAGTATGGAAAATGCCCTTTAACACCTAGAAGCGTGGAAAAGGCCAGCATACGCCTAGAAGCGTGGAAAAGGTCCTTTAACACCTAAAAGCGTGGAAAAGGTCCTTTAACACCTAAAAGCGTGGAAAAGGTCCTTTAACACCTAAAAGCGTGGAAAAGGTCCTTTAACACCTAAAAGCGTGGAAAAAGCCCCTTAACACCTAAAAGCGTGGAAAAGGCCAGCATACACCTAAAAGCGTGGAAAAGGCCAGCATACACCTAAAAGCATGGAAAAGGTCCTTTAACACCTAAAAACCTGGAAAAGACCCTTTAACACCTAAAAGCGTGGAAAAAGCCCTTTAACACCTAAATGTGTGGAAAAGGCCCTTTAACACCTAAAAGCATGGAAAAGGCCCTTTAACACCTAAAAGCGTGGAAAAGGCCCTTCAACACCTAAAAGCGTGGAAAAGGCCCTTCAACACCTAATAGCGTGGAAAAGGCCAGCATACGCCTAAAAGCGTGGAAAAGGCCCTTTAACACCTAAAAGCGTGGAAAAAGCCCCTTAACACCTAAAAGCGTGGAAAAGGCCAGCATACGCCTAAAAGCGAGGAAAATGCCAGCATACGCCTAGAAGCGTGGAAAAGGTCCTTAACACCTAGAAGCATGGAAAAGGCCCTTTAATACCTAAAAGTGTGGAAAAGGTCCTTTAACACCTAAAAGCTTGGAAAAGACCCTTTAACACCTAAAAGCGTGGAAAAAGCCATTTAACACCTAAATGTGTGGAAAAGGCCCTTTAACACCTAAAAGCATGGAAAAGGCCAGCATACACCTAAAAGCGTGGAAAAGGCCAGCATACACCTAAAAGCATGGAAAAGGCCCTTTAACACCTAAAAGCGTGGAAAAGGCCCTTCAACACCTAAAAGCGTAGAAAAGGCCCTTCAATACCTAATAGCGTGGAAAAGGCTAGCATACGCCTAAAAGCGTGGAAAAGGCCCTTTAACACCTAAAAGCATGGAAAAGGCCAGCATACACCTAAAAGCGTGGAAAAGGCCAGCATACACCTAAAAGCATGGAAAAGGCCCTTTAACACCTAAAAGCGTGGAAAAGGCCCTTTAATACCTAAAAGTGTGGAAAAGGTCCTTTAACACCTAAAAGCTTGGAAAAGACCCTTTAACACCTAAAAGCATGGAAAAGACCCTTTAACACCTAAAAGCGTGGAAAAAGCCCTTTAACACCTAAAAGCATGGAAAAGGCCAGCATACACCTAAAAGCATGGAAAAGGCCAGCATACACCTAAAAGCGTGGAAAAGGCCAGCATACACCTAAAAGCATGGAAAAGGCCCTTTAACACCTAAAAGCGTGGAAAAGGCCCTTCAACACCTAAAAGCGTAGAAAAGGCCCTTCAATACCTAATAGCGTGGAAAAGGCCAGCATACGCCTAAAAGCGTGGAAAAGGCCCTTTAACACCTAAAAGCATGGAAAAGGCCCTTTAACACCTAAAAGCATGGAAAAGGCCCTTTAACACCTAAAAGCATGGAAAAGGCCAGCATGCGCCTAAAGGCGTGCAAAAGGTCCTTTAACACCTAAAAGCATGGAAAAGGTCCTTTAACACCTAAAAGCATGGAAAAGGCCCTTTAACACCTAAATGCGTGGAAAAGGCCCTTTAACACCTAAAAGCATGGAAAAGGCCCTTTAACACCTAAAAGCGTGGAAAAGGCCCTTTAACACCTAAAAGCATGAAAAAGGCCAGCATACACTTAAAAGCATGGAAAAGACCCTTTATTTACTCAACTTACCAGCATTATAAACAGCAACATCCAAGTGGCCAAAGGTTTCCAGACATTTTTCAACTGTTGATTTGATATCACTCTCAGAACGGACATCACACTTCACAGCAAATGCTTTACCCCCTTTGTCTGTGATTTCTGCTGCTACATCAAAGATACTTCCTACAAAAGACAAATTAAAAAAAAAAAAAAGGTAAAATCTGATTTGATATTTAGTGTGATGTGCACCTATTGCACTGTGCCTCCTAATTTTTTTCCTATCTTTATCTAATTTGCTACATAAAAATGCTTCCTAAACTAAAAAAAGTTTGAAAAAAAAAAAGACAAGCTAGAATCTGATTTGGTATATAATGTTTGTGTACCTTATGCGCTGGACCTCCTGTTTTTTTAAATCTTCATCTGAGAAAGCTAGGCATACAATCTACTACCGGAGGGGTCAGAGTGGTAACTACATCATTTAGGTCCTTCTTTCATCAAAATAGTTAAAAACCTCAACTACACATAAACCTAAAACTTTTAAAGTTTAAATTTTTTGCATTGGTAACGCTTAAAAAAAAAGAATGGGTCATGACCGCGTTGGAACTCTATTGAAGAAAACAAGAGGCAGGGGAAGACCAAGAAGAAGATGGATTGAAGGAGTCACGGACAACTTGAAACTTCATAACATCACGGCATATGAAGCGACTGAGCGCGCCCTGGCTCGGTTGCCGATCATCTGATAGACTGCGACGCCTAGCGGCACAAGCAGATTTTGACAAAAGAAGAATTTATTTATCAACAATTTTCAAAGAATATATCAAGATTTATGAAGAGAGTAAATAAACGTGAACAGGGTGAAAAATTAAATGGACCATATTCTCTGGCGCCTGAAAAATACATGTATCAGTGACTCATGCCATAACCCCATGACCTCAATGAATGAGGCTATGGGAAAGTCTGACGTTAACTTGGCTTTAGAAAAAGCTACTTGACTTAAAGAAACACCCCTCCAGATGCTATTTTTAGTTAACATTATCATATCATGACCCCAAAACATTTTAGCAAATGTGAAAACAAACAATTACAGTAACTATGCATTTAAAAACCCATACTGGAGGGTGAAGTTGAGGGCAAGAGAGCAAGAGGTAGACAACATTACAAGTGGGAGGACAACATCAAGAGTGTACAACCAAGACAAAAGACGGGGTGTGCTGGAGATCCATTGCAGGCAACCATCATTGTGGCGATGTCACCTGACTGATTGACTGAAGCATCTCATAAACAGGTCACTATAGGCAAGTCAGAAAAGTGACATTTACAGTTTACCTGGATTCTTTTCTGTGGACACAACAGTTTTTGCAGCAACACACACACCGTATCCATTTTCAGCCAAAGTTAGGGCTATCTGCTTCCCAATGCCTCTTGTAGCCCCAATGACTAGTGCCGATTTCATTTTGTTTGGCTGAGGAGGGTCTTTCAGGCCAGAAACTAAAATGGAGGAGGAAACCAAAAAAATAACAAAACAGAACACAAATAAATCAAAGTAAAAGTTAAAGTCAAGAGTATCCACTTAACTCAGCTGCGTTTTTACCTATGTGAGTTTTGGAGTGACATTATTTCGAAAAGGGGGAATGGGGAAGGGGAGACAAGCATGTCGTAAAAGGTAACTAATAAGGGATTTTTTCTTTGAAACATGTAACACAACTGCATGAGAGGTGAGAAACCAACAGTTTGCATACAAGTGAGTCAGATCTGTAAAACGGATGTGCAAGCACAACTCAAGTTCTGGGACAAGACTAAAGTCCAAAACTGGAAGAATATCCAGTACTTTCCGCAGAGTTTACACTAGTGAATAACAAGTAAAAAGTCAAGGATGCTTTTCAACGCCTTTCAGGCGTATTGGGTACATAGGGGTGGATAAATGGAACTTAGTGGATTCTTCAGCATCATGCCAGCCGCCTTTTCTTCCCAGGACTGCACCTGGTACCCACTCAAGGCTGGGTCCACCTGGGAGCCAAGGCCATTTTTGAAAAAAAACCGGCCCTCCTCAGGAACCAAACCCACGACCTTCCAATCCGCAGCAGAGAATCTAGCCACTAGACCTCAGCGGCTCCCACAGCCAGTGAATGCTAAGTTTAATTAAGTATTAATATCACATCACTTGAGATATTCCCACATGTATTCCATCCCCATCTTCAGCAGCAAGTGCAGAGTTCCAATTCCAATGGTACCAGTAACAGCCTGATTGTGTTGGCTTTTCCCTTGTGGTGAGTGAGAATCGGGCAGGTCCTATTATCTCCCTTCACGCCGCCATTCTCCTCAGACTGTGTTGATCTATGAGGCAGACCAAGAAGACGATGAAGAGATAATATTCAGACAGATCTGCACACACTTCTCGGAATACTGAAGGATATATATATATATATATATATATATATATATATATATATATATATATATATATATATATATATATATATATATATATATATATATATATATATATATATATATATATATATATATATATATATGGCTCCTCCGAACTTCTACCCCTGCATTATGGTGGCCAGACAAATATCCTTACAGGGCTCAGTCCTATTAAAAATATGCGAACTTCCGGCGACAAACGAATCGCTTCAAAACTAGGATCGGCTCTGTATAATGAAACAAATGCTCTAACAGCGTCTCAGCGATATGTTAATTGGGGACCTGTTTCTGTGACTATGCCTCACTGCCAACCGTATCCGCGCGCCGCGGATGGGGGCTAAACTAGATGGCTGGGACTCACGAGCAGCAGCGACCGCATCTCCTGCAACTTCCTCCAATTAATTTGCTCATCAGTCCCAGGCGGCACTCTTCCGAATACCGGTCCCAAATTATTCACTGCCAAAAACTGCCCTTTGAGAGCCTCAATAAGTTATGTAGTAAAAGCATTTAGGTCATCATCATCAGTTTCCACTTTTGCCGTTAGTGCTCGACAGACAACGATGTTAAGACCTTAGGCTAAGCGCCGGGGAGAGGGGGAGGGGGTTGTTTTAGATCCATCGACGCGGCGTTTGGAGGAAAATGTTTTGATTCAATGTTTAAGTGAAGTGGGGAGGATTAGTTTTCGATCCATTAAAGTTACGTGGGGAGGAATAGAATCGTTTTTGATCCTTTAAAGCTACGTGGGGAGGAATAGAATAGTTTTTGATCCATTGTTTACATTACTCGTGACTCCTCTTGTGGGTTCCAGGGCCACATGTTTGAGGGGAAAACAGAATAGATCCACTGCCACCTAAAAAGTATGTTGTAACAGGCGCTTAAATAAGACTGCTGAAATCGATTGCGTTAGTGTAAAAGGATCAGATATCACAGCCTATCTGTAAACCACATCAAAACATCCCAACTGTCCTTTTAAGGGCTAAAATTAAAATTATCACCCTGCGGGGAATCGAACACCGATCACCCACGTACCATGTACAACTATACTACCGAAGACTCGAGAGTTGGGTTCCCATGAAATTATATAATAACGCGAAGCATAGTTTGTAGCGTTCCTGTTCCATATTTTAAACTATATGACCTCTTGAGGCCCTAAATGGGATTTTTTAAACAGTAAATAATTTGGGACCGGTATTCAGAAGAGTGCCGTCCCAGGCACCTAGTTTAGCCCCCCATCCGCGCCGCGCGTAGCGGAGCATATTTTTAATAGGACTGAGGCCCGTAAGGATATTTGTTCGGTCGCCAGGGGTAGAAGTTCGGAGGAGAGCCATATATATATATTATATATATATATATATACATATATATATATATATATATATATATATATATATATATATATATATATATATATATACAAATTTTTAGTAATCAATAGGGGTTGAACAGGCTTTAGATATATTATTATTACGAACTACTTTCTATTTTTCCTAATCATCCAAAGCTCACCTCTTGTATAGTTCAACTAACAGTTGTTTATCAAACCAAATCACACTGACATAGAGAACGCAGCCAGTGGTTCCTGGAGCTCGAACTTTGAGCCGGGATCTGGAGTCCGCTAGCTGTCCACATTTAGTCTGACAGAGATAGGGGTTTCTAAACTACAGACATAAACAGAAAAATGCACATGTTTTCTTTATTTTCTATTCCCTTCCGGTATCCATATGAGGGCTTGATAGGGGTAAAAGTAACGGTAAAGTCGGGAGATGTGAACACACGTCATTGCACACGGTTATAAACCATAAGTGCTCTGCCACTAGCACGGACAGCTGATAAGAATTGTCCGCCTGTGTCGCCGTTCGCACGTAACTCTGTAGCCACAGCGCCGTTCCTCAATTTACCCCAGAGTATCACTATGGTACCCATTTTCCTGAGGCTGGGTGAAACCCGGAAGCAGCCCGGTTTCGAACACCGACCGTTTGCGAGTGACAGCTGGATTTGAAAGCGAGCTTCTTATCGACTGCGCTAACGTGGCCCCTAATGTCTGGTCTTATCAATTCTCGATGTTGTTCCAGAAGCGCTTTTCTTAAAACTTGATACATTACCTTGCTTAGTCTTTTGTCTTTGAAATCTCTCCATTGGACAATTAGTATTCTTCTAAGAGATCTTGAGTTTTATGTGTTTGCTGAATGTCTTTGACTTCCAGATGTTTGACAATTTTGTTAAATATACCTAGATAGTTGAGGAGCTTTATTAGCCAAGGATAAGATTTGGTCAAAATATCGGAGGACAGAAAAGAGTTGCACAAAGTGGTAATTACTTTAGGACGGGAATGATGGAAATAAGCGGCAGGTGCAGGTTCAACGGTTGAAAGAAGACACTTATAGACCTGGAGATGTCATTATGTAGTCCTACATTGATTGACCAACGCCCAGCGGTAGAAACAGTGGATGGCGCTTCATTAGGAAAGCAATAAGTAGCCTCATGGTTTTATTGGCCAATCGGCACTGGGTGAGTGATGCCGGCAACATCACACCGACCGCCTTTACTTCCCATGAATTTTTGGTACAAATTTTAAGCCGGTTTGACCTAAAAGCCAAGGCAATTTTTGACAGAGGTAAATATCCGACGTTTGCTTAAAAAACTTTTGCTGAGAAAACAGGAGAACAGCATAACTAGAATGTCTTTGCATTGGAACCCACAGGGCCATATGAATAAAGGAAGGCCAAAAAACACACGGAGAAGAGAGCTGGAAAATGAAGTTAGAAAGATGGGGAGGACATGGGGAGAGCTCCATGCAATGGCGAAGGATAGAACGACTTGTTGTGAGTTGGTTGAGGGCCTATGCTCCATTGGGAGATAGAAGAAGAAGAAGAAATATCCGACTCGATGCAGATTCGAAAACACGACTTTCTGGCTTGAGGCGAGCGTCTAGCCGCTACACCAAAGCATCTCCCAGAATGAACGAGGTCAAAATTCACACGCACACAAACACATATCTTTGACACGATTTGGGGCAGCGTTTTAAATTAAGATTCTTCATTTATTATTGCAGATATTACGGGTCTCTGGTTAGCCTTCTTTTTCCACTTGGTGGCACCCAGGTATTTGTATGTCTGTCTGGATATTATATGTCCTTCCAGTGAGTTTATACTTGTTGATCCCCAAAAAAGTGGTCCCGGATTCAGTAAGAGAAGAGCGGGGAAAGGGGGAGAGTGAGAGAGAGAGAGAGAGAGAGAGAGAGAGAGAGAGAGAGAGAGAGAGAGAGAGAGGGGGGGGGGAAGAGAAAGTGGAATGGATATCTTAAGTTTCGTATTTTACACTGACCAGATAAAGGGAAACAATTAGTAAACAAACCTTCCTACCAAAAAATTTGCAGTGTCCATCCTCGAACTTGAACATTTCCCGTTTAAACTTTAACAGTGTCATTTGAACTTATTCTACGGTATTTGAACTATTTGGTGGTATCACTTTATAATAATGGAACTTCCACATTTGGGAAAAAATTGTAGCTTTCCTAGTTGTAACCAGCTAGGTAAGCATTTTTTTCCATTGTTATAAATTTTAAATTAAAGTAATTAAAGTACTAACTCTACTTAACTACTACTAGACGCAAGTCTTTCAGTTTGAATTCGGAGAGCCGCTGCACTGTGATGAGTAGTGCCACTAAATGCTTGATGCTCGCTTGCCAATCGAGGCTCTGGCTGATTTGACTTTTTTTTTTCCTTCTTTCGAAAATGGCCTTTGGGTGCAGTACAGGTCGACGTAGCCTTAAACTTAAACAGGTATCAGGTGAAGTCCTGGGAAGTGAGTAAAGGCGACCGGCGTGATGATGTTGACCAGATCACTCACCACTAGGTGCCGATTTAGATTGGGGCATGGTCTATATTCGGCTATCCTCCGAATAACTGTCCCAAATAACGGAGGCCGAAAATATACCCTAACAGGGCCTCAGTCACGTGTAAATTGTGGACTTCCGCCAACGCCGAGAGTATCTCCAACGCTAAACTAGATGGCTGAGACTCACAAGCAGCAGCTACCACACATCCTGCAGCTTCCTTCATTTTATTTGCTCGTGAGTCCCAGCCATCTAGTTTACTCTCGGCGGTGGTGGTAGTCGCCTGAAATGCGCAATTTAAGTCGCCGAAAGTTTGCAATTTACATATGAACCAGGCCCTGTTAGGGTATATTTTCGGCCTGGATAATTTGGGACTGTTATTCGGAAGATAGCCTATAGTTCTATAGTATAATACATAAGTATTATAAGTCTATTACTATATCATACCCAATACGCCTAAAGTCATATACGATCTGTTGTCAATTGAGTTGAGTAGAGTCAAGAATTGACATCACAGCACTCAGGGCATTCCCATGCATGCTCCGTACTCATCTTCAGCAGCCAGCACAGAGTTCCAATACTGATGGTACCAGTCGCAATCTGGTTATATGTCCGTCTTGCCTTTCCTCAGAGTGTAGTGAGCCGGCCAGACCCTCTGGTTACACCCAGGTGCTTCATTCTCTTCTTGACCACATCTGCCTTGTCATGTATCAATTTACCACCCAGTGGTGCAGATCCGGCCAATCTATCTGCTTGTTCATTACCCACCACGCCCGCATAGTCTGGAGAAAAGATCCAATGTATGCTAACTACCAGTGACCTTTCCAGTGATTTGTTATCAATGACATTAAAACAGTGTCTGACAGCTTGATGGAGACAGTCTGTGATATTGTGTGACTGTTTGCTAGAACTGAGACAGAGTGTGACACTCACGTATTTGTATTACAGATTGAAACAGCATGTGACAGATTAAGGTCGTGTGTTTAGACTGATGTGGCTTGTGACAGAGTGAGATGGTATGTGATAGACTGAAACGGTGTTTGACAGAATAAGGTAGTGTTTGACATATTGATGTGGCTTTTTGACATGTTGAGACTGTGTGATAGATTGAGACAGAATTAACTAAATTTTGTATAGCACCTTAGAAGTTAAATATTCTGAAGGAAGATTGGATACTCAGCATATTTTGTCTACCAGACCATTTTAGGGGTGTTTGGAGGGGTGGGAGGGGGGGGTCACCTTTATGCTGCCATTGTCAAAACAAGGGTGACTGCAGTCAAGCTAATACCAAGAAATTAATCCAGTTGAGTTTAAACAACGGGTCAACATCACAGCACAAGGGTAGTAACCCATAAGTACTCCGTTATGCTTAAAACTCAAGCCTGAGTCCGAAGAATCTCAGTGCAGTGCACAAACTAACTAGCACCGGCAAGGATCCTAAAATAATGTGGGTACATTTTTATGCCCAGGCAATGACATTGGTTTGCACACATAAAAAGTCCCCTGGCAGTAGCCAAACGTCGCTGCCAGGGCAAAATTTGGAGTTTAAAATCTAGCCAAAGTATTTCAGGATCCTCGCCGGTGCTACAGAGCCTGTGTACAGTGCTGAGCTTTTTCGAACTCAGACTTGAGTTAGAAGAAGAACAGAGCACTTATGGGTTACTACCCATGTGTTATGATGTTGATCCGTTGTTCAGACTTCAGAAAGCAACAGAATTATTTGGCCATTGTACAAGAATGTCCTAGTACCAACTGCCACAAAGAGCAACGCTGAAGACATATAATGAAGACCTTACAAAAGAATGAGGGATGGTATGAAGAACACCCTGACAGAAATTAAGAACAACATATACAATCTATTATAAATAGCACACAAGCGATTCTCAATTTCCCCAGACATTTTAATGGGGTAATTGGAGGAAAAGAAGAAGAAGAGAAAGATTTATAGCATTTCCTTGTGAGGGTTCATTGAGCCCCGTTCTGGAAGAACAAGAATAGATCCACTGCCTGCCACAAAGCATGTCATAAGAGTCGACTAACTGGGAGGTTCCTTCGGAGTCGGAATACATCTGTATGAGAGGCAAGGAACCAACAGTCTGCATGCAAATGAGTGAGACCTGTGAAACGGATGTGCACTCAGCACTCAGTTTCTGGAACATGACTAGAGTCCAAAAGTGGACGAACAACCAGTACCTTCCACTGGCATCTACAGGCGGTGAACGCGAAGAAGAACAATGTTTATAGCATTATAAATAATGTGTTCAAATATTCTGTTTTGCAGATTTTTTGCCATTTCAGTGTGATGGATGTGGGCAGACATTTTGGTATGTATATGCTATCTAAAAAAATAATAGTAATTAAAATCAGTCTTAGTTTAACTGAAATAAAATAGTTATTTAAAAATAAAATAGTTATTTAAAAATAAAATAGTGATTTTCTGCATTTTGAAATTGCAAGTTCTAAACAATATTTTCCTCTTGTTATGGCAATATCTTCTTATTTTGTCGAATATCTGCTTATGCCGCTAGGCATAACGATATCGGTAGCCAAGCCACATGCGATCAGATGCTTGATATGCTGTGATGTTATGCAGTCTCAAGGTGTCAGTGACTCCTTCAATCCATATTCTTCTTGGTCTTCCCCTGCCTCTTGATGTTTTGATTTTCATGCTGTACGCTCTTGCTGCTGGCATTGTTTGTTTCATTCTAATCATAGAATAAAAAGGCTGTTGAGACAAAACACCCAGTACATGTGCTTGCCACGTCAGTCAGAGTGAAATAGGGGTGAATGAACACAGCAACAGTGTGTGCTGAACACTGGTACAGCATTCATGTATACCACAGACACATGGAAATGGAAAACAGGCAGTGGACATCTGTGTTTTAGCAAGTGTGATGCGTATTCTGTTTCTTTTTCTTTACATTCACCGGCTGTAAACTCTGGCAGAAAAGTCTGGTTGTTCATCCACTTCTGGATTTTCATCATGTCCCATTACTGTAAAGATGGAATTTCCTAGAGGGTTCCCGATATGAAGATTGGAGGGTAAAGGGAAAGTCAAGTGAGTAAAATCCAAGCGGGGAATACTTGCAAATTACGCGTTTAACTGAACTGAGAAATGTGATCACCCATGGAAACAGGAGGAAGGTTTAAAGGTGAGAGAGATCAAGTCAGTTTGTGTTTGAGGAAGGTTGCCCGTGTCGAGTGACTCATCAATCTGTGATTGTTGAAGAACAGAACGATCCAATACTTATCCAACTGGCTCCTATTTGAAAATGACCACCAACAAGCCGTTGGTGTGTTGGGGACCGCAATGAACTCACGGGCCATTACCAGAAGATGTGTCGCACCATGCATTTAGCTCAGTAGCTAGGTAATAATCGGTGCTATATAAGGAGGGATTATATTTGATCGTGAATTGTATGTAATGATGAATATGTGATGGTGAATGACATATGATGGTAGATGATATGTCATGATGATGGCAGATGATGTATAGTGATTGATGACGTAAAATGGTAGATATGGATGATAAACAAGAAGACAAAAATAGATCAATAATCTTCTTTTTAGCGTTCATCAGCTGTAATCTCCAGCGGAAAATTTTGGTAGTTTGTCAACTTCTGGATGTTGGACTTTTTCCAGAACTTGAATTGCACATGCCCCTCCATTTTACAGATCTAGCTTATTTTTATGCAGACTGTTGGTTACTGGCTTTTCAGGCAGATGCACTCCACCTTTGAAAGAAATACCCCTGATTGCCTTTTATGACATGCTTGTTAGGGGGGCAGTGAGCCTGATCTCTCACCTCCCCCAAATGAGGCCCTAGAACCCACGAGGGTTATATAGTAAATGGTGATTGATAATATGTAAAGACAGATGAGATATGATAATTGATGATGTATGAAGACAGCGTCAGTATCCATGAAACCCACGCGGGTTATATAGTAAATTGAGATAGATAAAGACAGGTAAGATATTGGACATTGTCTTCAGAAAACAGAAGGAAAATAGTCACGGCAGAAATGAAATATTTACGTACTATGCTAGGTGTCACAAGGTAAGATAAACTTAGGAACAATGATATCAGGAGGAGAGTCGGCACAGAACCAATACTGAATTTTATAGGTAGACAACAAATCATAGGGTTTGGCCATGTAACAAGATTGGCAGCAGACATGACCCCACAGAGAGCAATTCTATACAGATACAACAGTAACAGACCAAGAGGTCGACCACACAGAATATGGATGGCAGAAATATCAGAAACACTGACAAGTTCTATGAACGAAGCAAACAGAAGGGCCCGTTCTAGAGATCTCTTCCTCCTCTGATGCCGTGAGGCATTCCAGGAGTAGAAAAAAAGAAGAAGAAGATGAAGATAAGATACGATCATTTATGATGTATGAAGACAGCGTCAATGTCTGTGGAACCTACGCGGGTTATTTAGTAAATTGTGATAGATAATATATGAAGACAGATAATATATGATGATAGATGATATATGAAGACAGATAAGATATGATAATAGATTATATATGAAGACAGATAATATATGATGATAGATGATATATGAAGAAATATAAGATATGATAATAGAAGATATATGAAGACAGATAATTTATGATGATAGATGATATATGAAGACAGATAAGATATGAAAATAGGTGATATATGAAGACAGATAATTTATGATGATAGATGAAATATGAAGACAGATAATTTATGATGATAGATGATATATGAAGACAGATAATTTATGATGATAGATGATATATGAAGACAGATAAGATATGATAATAGATGATATATGAAGACAGATAATTTATGATGATAGATGATATATGAAGACAGATAATTTATGATGATAGATGATATATGAAGACAGATAAGATAATTGATGATATATGAAGACAGATAATTTATGATGATAGATGATATTTGAAGACAGTGTCTGCATGCATTTCTTTTGCTGCTTACCAATTTAAAGTTTTTGTTTTTTGTTTTGTGGATACTTTTCCCCCCAGTCTACAGCACAGGTCCCGAGACCAGCACACATGTATTGTGGTAAGAAAATATTTGTATTAAATTTTTAGCCCTTTCACCCCGCTAACACTAAAAAAAATAATTGGTCAGACCCAGTGGAAATTCTTGCAAATAATACTCTAAAAACAACCATGTCACACAGGTCAATGAAATTTTTTTTAATGTGCGTTTTCCTTCCTGAAATATATAAAGATATTTAAAGATATATATATAAAGGGAATAATCAGTGAACTTGACCAGAGTGAGTCATAAATGGAAACATAAAAGCAGGAAACAGGCAGGAAACATAATACCATGAACGTTCGTGTTACTAGTACTACGATCAAATAAGTACGAGAATTCAAATATCTAGGAAGCATTTTTACAGAGGATGGCAGACTTGAAAGAGAGATAAAAGCCAGAGTACAGAAGGCCAATGCTGTCACCTGCCAGTTCACACATACTAACTGATTAGACCTAGGTCTGACCTTATAACCCTCGTTCTGGGTTTCACGTGCTGGTCTGAGCCCTGCTTGTATGTCTCATGTTTCTACGAGCAGTCACATTCTCATGTATTTCTGTCCTATCCCGAGGTTGACTCCCATATTATTGCTTAGAGAATTCCCATGGGAAAATACGGGAAAATACCATTACAACTTCTCTCATCAGTGTTAACTTTAGGGCTTCTATTGGATGTCCTCACTTCCTCAGTCCCTGTATTTCTCATCTCAGTGTCTCTTTGATGATTGCCTGTTTGTTCTTAGAATATTTCCAGTGCAGCGCCATCTTCTCTTGTCTTAAAACTGTTGATACCAGTGGTGGCCCTAACATTTCTCTGATTTCTTCACTGCTCTTGAATTAATCCAGTTTTATGTTCATAATTTTCATCTAGCATTGATTTATATGATGACCAGGAGAAGATGGAAATGGCTTGGCCACGTTATGAGAATGAATCCTGATATACCCGCCAAAACAGCTCTCACATGGACACCAGAGGGAAAGAGAAAAAAGGGGCGCCCAAAAACAACATGCAGACCAACGATGGAAAGTGACCTGAGTGTGGAATCTTTGACATGGAAAACTGCACTGAAGATTGCACAGGACAGGAAAGCATGGAAAGTCCTCTATGAAGCCTCATGTGCCACTAGGCATAACGAGAACTAACTGACTAATTGATTTATAATTTTATTTGCCTGTCTTTGGTGGTTCTCTAATTAAAACTTAAATAACATAAGAATTGAAAATACGTAACATGGTTCTAAAACTATATAAGGCAGAGTTCCATATTTTGTTCAAGCTTTTGAAAGCACAGTTAACAAACGTTGTCCCCCTGTGGGATGCAGTTTTTCCTTATTTTGAAGCCCCACCCTGGCTTTTTCCGAGGGCAGCAGTATGACCTAACGGTTGAACAGGGGTTTCTGGGACCTCTCGATGGGTGATCCTCACCTGCATGGTGGCACTTTGTGTCACCGGGTGTTTATCGCTCTGTGTGGTGTCCTAGTGGGGTAAAATGTACTCACTTACTTACAAAAGTACAACCTTGACCACAGCAAGTTAGAAAAGTCTACCCTGGCAAGATTCAGACCCCCAGCTTCTGGATTAGAAGTCCTCCAGGCTATCCAGTGTGCATCATCATCGTCGTCGTCATCATCATCATCCTGTAGCAGGTCCTCTGCAGAACGTCACTGTCATCACGGTCTGCCTGTAATAAACTCGGTCTCTTGCCAGCTTTCCTGCCTCACGCACTTTCATACCCAAGATGTCATTCATAACCTATGCCCATCTTCATATTAATCGACCCCTGCCCCTCCTTCAGCATGCAGCATGGCTGAATTTGGTTATAAAACCACAAATGAACAATAAATGCTGTGATTGGTTTGCAACATCCTTCATTGTTTATGCAACTAACTTTCATAAAGTAAAGTAAATGACCCTTTTCCATGCCTTCAGATGTATTGGGCATATAGGGCTAGACCTGTATTTTATAGACCAACTGGCACTTAGTGGATCATGTGGTCAGCATCACGCCAACTACATTTACCTCCCGGTACTTGTACATGCTTCCCACTAAATGCTAAGTTGACCTGGCCAAGGTAATTTTTTTTATAAAGTCCGGCTCCGCCAGGACCCGAATTCACGACCTTCCGATCCTCAGGCTAGCGTCAAGCTTTTATAGTGGCACATAATACCCTCTTTCAATTCTCTTTCAATCCTCAGACTAGCGTCAAGCTTTTATAGTGGCACATAATACCCTCTTTCAATTCTCTTTCAGTGCTGTCTTTCAAAATATCTAATTTTTTTTTTTTTTTTCATTTTGACTGTCAGTTTCTTGCAAATTGACAGTATGCTGATAATTGAGTTAAGCTGAACTAAGAAACAATATCACAACACCGGGAACATTTCCATAATGCGCAGCCAGCACATAGTGTAATGAGGAAAGATTGACTTAGGAACGGTGATATCAGGAGAGTCGGCAACAAATCAAATGGTTTGGCCATGTAACAAGATTGGCATGAGACAGGGCACCACAGAGAGCAATGCTATGCAAATGCAACAGTAACAGAGCCAGAGGTCGACCATGCAGAAGAAGGACCACAGAAATATCAGAGACACTTCATAGGAAGCAAACAGAAGGGCCCATTCCAGTGATCTCTTCTTGCCCTGACGCCACTAGGCATTCCACTAGGAGTAGAGAAAAGAAGGGCCCATTCCAAAGATCTCTTACTGCCCTGACGCCATGAGGCTTTCGAGGAGTAGAGAAAAGAAGAAGCAGCAGCACAGAGTCCTGATTCTCGTTGGTATCAGTTGCAGTCAGATTGTATGTCTGACTTGACTTTCCCTTGAATCATGAGTGTGGGTCGTAAACTGTGGTCATTCTGGAGAGCACCATTCTCTTCTTATCTTGATGATCTATTTAAGCTTCACTGGCTTCCAGAGTTGAGTTGATTCAAGAACCGACATCACAGCACTCGGGGTATTCCCATAAGTTCTCCATCCACATCTTCAGCTGCCAGTGAAGAGTTCCGATACTAATGGTGCCAGTAGCATTCTGATTAAACATTCATCCTGCCTTTCCTCTGAGCCTCGAGCATATGCCAGAACCTCTCGTCACTCTCCCATGCATAAATTTCACCAGACTTTGGTGATTCATCTGCTCCTCCGAACTGTACACGCACTCCCACAAGGCACTAACCATGTCTGCCTTATCATGTATCAGTATTATCATGTCTCAGTATCTCGCTTTCAGATATGCTGATAATGCAACTGTAAAGAAAGTATGAAAGCGCTCTGCAACATTTTTTATAATTTTACTTCCAGGAACCTGAACGTATACCAACCTCGCATGCTTCGGAGAAATATTCTTGTTCTGTTCCATACTGTGAAAAAGAAGAACTTGCACAAATTGTCTGCCATCATTGTGGGTTGAATGTGTGCCTCAGGTTCGTTCTTGTGGAGTTGTACATGGTGTTTGTCTCTTCTTTGTGTTGAAAGACTTGTTCATATAGAAGCTTACACTATATTTGTTGCTTCATTGCATTATCAGGTTTCTCTGAATATAGACAGGAGCGATTACATTTGATCTGATGGCAAGAAGTACTAAATACGAGTGGGGCTTTAAGTGAAAACCTTCAAGATGTGGTACCATCAGAATACCATGCATGAAGAAAAGAAGAAATACTGACATTTTAAAAGATCTGAACATCAAGGAAGATTGGCTAATAAACAGCATCCTGTCTCGGAAGCTGAAATATTTTGGTCAAATCAAGCACCATGGCGGATTGGGAAAAAAATAATAATAGCAGAAGGTATAATTCCAGGAAGGAGGAACAGAGGCCGACCAACACAAAGATGGGCAAAGGATATAAGTGACTCCTTGAATATGAAAGTACATGAGGTGGGAGACCTGGCGAGAGACTGAGTTTCTTTCAGGCAGACAGTGATGAGAGCGACGTTCTGCAAAGGACCGACTACATGATGAAAGAAGGTGAAAATATAGGGGTGACTGCAGTCAAGCTAATACAAGGAATTCCAGATAAATTTGACTAAAAAGCTCAACAAAATGGGGAAGCAGAAAAACGTGCACAAAACAACACAACGTAAAGTTTCGGCCGGGCAGCCTTTTTCAAACATAAGTGAACTACACAAACGTAACAATGAGGTATTTAGATCTCTAAGGGGTGACGTGAGCAACGTTTAAAAAATGTGATGTGGAATAAATGAAACAAAATAAAATAAACGATTGTTAAAAAATATAGTCACAAAAAAAATAATAAACAGTAGTATTGTTAATATATAATATAATACTGGAAATAAAAGAAATACAGATGTTAATGATACATAAATGATACTGATAAGAAATAGAATAAAGTAATATATGAAATAAAATACAATAAAATAATTAACATTTAAAATGTGATAAGAGTAAAACTATTTAGATAAAGGTATGTTGGATATTGATACCACCTGGACTAAGATCGCCTAGGCTGTGGATGAGGCAATTTTCCAAAGCGTAGTATGATCGCCAGAGCAAGATTTTAATGCTGTGACAGATATATCATCTTTACCTCTGTGGTCAGAGCTTTTAAAATGGAGAGGGATTTGTTTAAGTGTCTTCTTGTCAATATCGGAGAGGTGTTCCCGGAAACGATCAGCTAACTTCCTGCTAGTTTCCCCAATGTATGCCTTGCTGCATCGTTTGCAGATAATTGCATAAATTACGTTGCGAGATTTGCAAGTAAAAGGTTCCCTAATTTGGAAAGAACCATTAGGGAAACTGACCGAAGAAGTTTTGTGCACGTTTTTCTGCTTCCCCATCTTGTTTAGCTTTTTAGTAAAATTTCTCTGGAATACATTATGAAAGGTGTGGTAGAAATTACAAACTCAAGCCGTTGGGAGGGAAACAAGAATAGACCCATTGCCTTCCCAAAAAAGAGTCGACTAATTGGGTGCTTCCTTCGAAGTTGGAGTGCATCTTCCTGAGAGGCAAGGAACTAACAATCTGCATACAAGTATGTCAGATCTGTAAAATGGATGTGCATTCAACACTTGGGTTCTGGAACAAGACTTATGTCCAGAGGTGAATGAACAATCAGAAGCTTCCACTGGAGTTTACAGCTGGTGAACGCGAAGAAGAAGAAGAAAGAATATTGTTGTTAAGGATGTCAAGAGTGTCAAGCATATGACAGCAATGTGTAGATGAACATGGTGATGTCATTATGACAGTTTAAAGATGGCTACCCCACTTTTGACAAACACCATAGCGGCAGCATTCTGTTATCCAATTATTTTTTTTCATCAGTGATGGGGAACAACCTGCAGAAATTTATCGGTCACTGAAGGTCCAGTGTGGTGATTCATGCCTGTCAGTCCAGCAAGTGTGTGAGCCAAGTGGGAAGGTATCAGAACAGCTTGATTTCTGTTCACAACTAGGCCAGGTACACTTGAGTAGAGACCCCCCAGAGTTGACGGCAGCCGTTGAGGGCCCCACACAGGAAAACCGACGACTGACTATAAGTGACAACGACAATGTCCTTGCTGGATCTTCATTTGCTGATGGATTTCTATAGGTTTCACCCCATCGCTGATCGAAAAAGGGATAACAGAATACTGCTCATGTCAGAAGTGAGATGGTCATCCTTACACTTTCTTGACTGTAAGAAGAAGAAGGCGCATAATTTAAAAAAGCTTATACTTGACTATCAGTGACAGATGCAATTGTATTTTGTGTTTTAATTTTCAGCCATCGCTTGCAGGAAGATCACAACTGTATAAAGTTGCCACCAAAGCGACCCAATGTCTCGAAAACCTCAGAACATGTACAGCAACTTTTAGGTTAGATACTTTTCTATGGTCATCATCTGTCACTTGTTCATTGCAAACATGGCTTCATAATACGGGGGTGCCAGGTTCGATCCCAGCTGCAGGCAATTAGGCAGCAGACTGCCTTATCTTGGTTCCGACAGTGGTATTGAGATCTGACCTTTCAAAAAGCAAAGCAAACTTCTTCTTCTTTGCGTCCTCTTTTACCACTTTGGGTGTCGAGTGAGATATAAGGTCCTGCTTCGTGCTTTTCTCGCTGCCTCGACCAAAGACACATCGTGGTACTGTAGAGTTTCTCTGATGTTATCATTTCATCTTGTTCTTGGTCTACCTCTTGCTCTACGTCCCTCTCCTTCTTTCGGTATTTGCCTTGAATGGTATAGCACCAGAAGGCATTCTCTCCAAGTGGGCAAACCATTTTATTTGCTGTCTTTCTGTGTAATTTAGGATTGGTTCTGTGCTGACTTTTTTCTCGCATGACCTCATTCCTGATTTTATCTCTTCTGGTCACTCCTACAGCCTTTCTCAGACACCTCGTTTCCATGGTTACTAATTTTCTTTTATGTTGTGTTGTGAGTGACCATGTCTGGCACTGGTAGCATAGGATAGGAATAAATATGCTTTGTATGAGATGTCTTTTTGTGCTGATTGGGATTGCCTTATGCTGTAAGCGTGGGAAAGGGGGGGGGGGGGGGGGTTTACTGTCCTAATACTTAGCCAGCTTTAATGCATCGAATGTCAATTTCTTCGACAAATTTACCATCTTTAGTGAATGTTGTTCCAAGATATTTTAACTCAGAAGCCTGTTTAATATATCTATGCACTAATGCTATGTTTAAATCCTGCTTCTTTCTTCCTATTGACATTACTTCTGTCTTTTCGATGTTGATTTTCAAATTTTTTTTTTTTTTTTTTTTTTACATTCTTCATGGATCTGAATGTAAATTTGCCTTTTAGAAAAACCCACAAACAGCCAGCTAGTGCTGGGGTTGGCTCTGCTGCCTTCTGTCAAGGACATGCACCTTACTTAAACTGTTACATGTAAGTGTCTAGGGCAGTGGTTCCCAAAATGTGCGCCGCGGCACCCGGGGGAGCTGCGACTTTTTCACAGGGGTGCCTTAAAATATTAGAAGATATGTGAGTTTTATTTGTTTTGATCTCTTACATACAAATAGTCATACTTTTACTTAGGCTGGGGCGCAGCGGCAACATTTTAATTGAAAAAATTGCTGCGACTAAGAAACGTTTGGTAAGCGCTGCTCTAGGGCTTAGACGTTGCAGACGCACTTAATAATGCTGAGTACGATCCAAACTGTAGGCAAATTGACAGCAGACCGCCTTGTGTTCAACTTAACAATGGTCTCAAGGGCAAGTTACGAAACTAAAGTTGCCTAGTAAAATTACAAAGAGCAGCAAAAAAAAAACCAAAAAAAAAAGTTACTGGGGTTGGTTCTGCAACGTTCTGAAAAGGACGCACAACTGACTTTAGTCCTGTTCCAGAACCTGAGTTTTATGTGTACATCCAATTTATAGTCTGGTGAGAGTGTGCAGCGAGGAGCGAGGAGAGGGGATCTGGCCGATGCTCGACACCCAGAGGAAAGACAAGATGGACGTATAATCTAAATGCTTCTGGCACCACTGGTAGCGGAACTCTGTGCTGGCCAATGAAGATGGGGATGGAGGGATTACGGGAATGTCCTGAGTTCTGTGATGTCGGTTCTTGAATCAGCTCAACTCAACTCAACCTGATGCAATGAATTCGATCTTCTTGACACAAAATTAAAGCGAGCAAGAGGTAGAAAGTGATACAAGTGGCAGGATAAAATTCCGAGAAAGACAAAGAGCAGCCCCAGAGAGTGTAGATTATAGAGCGAGTTAGAGATCTATGCAGCCAACCTTCACCGAAGAGACTATGTGAGGTTTAAGGTTTTGAGGTTTTAACAATGGATCAACATCATGGCACACGGGTAGTAACCTTTTTTTTAATGTTCAGTATTATCTGTATGTTACTTTCAGCTTGGCATGTTCTGGTTCAGGGCGTGTGCTCCATTGTGCTGCTTACCTGTGTGTTTGTTTGTTTGTCTCTCCTCAGCTCAGAAGGAGATCAAACCTAGGACTAAGCCAACAAACCCCAAGGCAATTCAAATGGCAGCAAAGGTGGCCCTCATGAAGCTGAAAGGAAAGGCTGTTGGAGATCAAGGCATCCCTCAAGATGAGCGGGTCTACTTCAACGTTGTATTGCCTCTGGAGTCAAAGAAATCAAGTCTACCATTGTTCTTTTCCAAGGTTTGTGAAAGTTATGGCTGGAATTTTGGAAGATTATACAAATCTAGGAATCCTCTGGTTAAGCAGTAATTGCTTTGGGTCAAGAGTTTAATTAATAGGTAGAAACTGAAACTGGCTTCATCGGTTAGCTACCTTATAGTGAGTTTAGTGTTACCTTTCCTTTGGAGTTAACAAGGTAGGCCGTGACTGCTCAGACTATGTTACTCCAGTACCAGAGCTGTTATATGGACGTCGTGGCCACTGCCCAAAGACTTTGTGTCATCAAAAACGCCTAAATGTAGGAAAAATGGCTTTTTGGAGGCAGCAGGGTTAACTTAGACAACTCAGACTCATATGGTTGTTACTTTCTTCTTCTTCAGTAGGTCTAACCCCCCCCCCAACCACAGTGGACCCTAGAACTTGTTTCAGTCTTGACAAATGTCCAAACCATTTGACCTGTTCTATGTAAGAGACAGGACTGGTGGCGCACTGTCCTTTGTCAGCCTTGACACACATCCCAATCAGTAGACCTACTGTCTCCTGATGCCATTTAACACTGGCTCTGTGCCCAGTTATTTCATATTCACCACTTATGCCTCAGAGATTTATAACTGAATGTTGAATTAGGAATCAAAATCACAGCACTCGGGACACTCCCATAAGTGCTGCATCTCCATCTTCAGCAGCAAGCGAAGAGTTACAATTCCGATGGCACCAGTAACTGTCTGATTGTATTTCTGTCTCGGTTTCTGTCTCATGCTCTGTGAGTCAGTTAGCATGTGTGTACAGCTGATTCTCAAGCCAACGGAAGGCTAGATTTATAACTTTAAAGTGGTAACTCTATGAGATAGAGAGAAAGCTGGTAGCAATCAGTGAACATCTGTTGCATTCCCCAGTGTAGATAGAGTTGAACATCGATTTTATTTGGTACAGAGGGTGAGTAGAGGTTATGGAAGATCTTCAACACTGAGAGGAAAACATAAACAGACTTTAACCCTTTGGAGACGACGCGGCCAAAATATCAGCCCAACATAAAGTAGTCAAAAGGACAATTGGGCCGATGGTCTGCCCTATGTAATACAAGCCTTGAGATTGTCTGGCAGGTTTTCATACCAGCCAATCAGATTGCTTTTCGCATTTCTTGCACATATGGGCTGTTCATTGTCAGCTTTTGAGAAAGTTTGCTTTGTTCAGTAATTTTACATCAATTTTTTTCCAAGGTTGCCTGTGCCCAACAATGGCGAAAAGGACTGTTGCGTTACAGCAACCGAAACATAGCTGGAGGCAGGAAAATGAGTAGAACCATGTGCCAGAAGTGTCTGAAGGGCCTCTAAAGGCCTTACTTTCTAAAACGCATGTTAGCACTTATTCAAGCTTTATCCAAAAAAAAAATCAAAATTTTTTTAGGTTTGTCATGTTTGTTCTTCAGTGTTAAAAAAATTCTTGCATAAATTATGCAAATTAGAGTAATTAATTTAAATAATTGTTGAGATTTTAGTCTGATTCATAAATATTCTGTTAGCTTATTCAATTTCCTACACGGATATATCTAGTTTTGGGAATGTTAATTAAACGCTTTATTTTTAATAATTTTTTGTGTATAAGCTATGAAAATCCCCTCCTGAAGGCTTCGTCTTTCTGGCGCTGAAACTCCAAATAGGCTCCATCTCCAGAGGGTTAAATCAGGTTGCAATTGGTACTAGTATGTCGACTCTTTGTTGGCTACTGAAGAAAAGGACAGATCATATGTGGGAATGTCCCAAGGGCAGTAATATCTGTTCTTGATTCATTCATTGACTCATTATCGTTTAAATTTCTTGAAAAAAAAAAGAATAGCTGTGCTTGTATTCCCAACCAGGTTTGGACGATCGGTAAAATTGTTGATGTCATAGCAGAGAGAGCTTCCCTGCCTAATAGCAACAATACAGGGGCCGTACAGGTGAGTGTTCACACAAAATGTCTTTTTTGGTTTGCTCTGCGGGAAAACAAATCATCACCTTCAACTAGAATCCCTAAAGGGGCAGCTTTAGGTTTTAATTGTGACTAAGTTATGTGAGCCATATTAAAGGGCTTAGCATGGCTCGCCACCAGGCAGCCCTGAAAAGGACTCTTGTAGTGTTGATGTGATCAATGAAGACAGACCCAAATACTGTCCCGACCACCAACGAAGCCGTCTTCCAGCCAGCCAGTGGGCAACCGGTCGCTGATGATTGCAAAACCACATCTGTTGCAAGTCTTTAATGTTTCTTAGAACGCTTTTGAGTGAGAAAAAAGGACGGATAGAGTTTTGTTGACACTGTAGGTGTGATGGCTGGCTTTACCCCCCCCCCCCCCCCAAAAAAAATTGTTACTTTCAACCAGCATCACCCAAAGGGGGGAGCTTTTGGTTATAATTGTGACTAGCCACCAGGTAGCCCTGAAAAGGATTCTTGCAGTGTTGATGCGATCAAAGGAGTCAGACCTAAATACTGTCCCGACCCAGGATGGTCTACCAGCCAGCCATTGGGTGACCCAGTCGCTGATGTACGAAATGTCTTGTTGAGACCCGTAGACCCCTTCCCCATGTGCTTCCAGGACCCCATTTGCCTCCTAACAAGCATGCAGTGAAAGTCGAATAGTCAGAGGTAAACTGGTTGTTCAACCACCTCTGGACTTTAGTCTTATTCCAGAACCTGAGATGTTTTTTTGTGCACATCCATTTTACAGATCTGGCTTATTTGTAAGCAGGATGTTGGTTCCTCGCCTCTAAGGCAGATGTAATCCATCTTCACAGGAAACACCCCTAGTTAGTTTACTTTTATGACATGCTTGTCATGGGGACAATGGGTCTATTTCCCCCCAACCCCCTAACCCATTCACTCCCCATAATTGAGCCCTTGAAACCACATGAGGAGTACAGCATATGATGTTTTGGCAATATGTTAAAAACTTGGTAACAGTTATTTAAAATATGTAATTGATCAGATTCTTGTAGTATATCGTGGAACAAAAAGAGGAACTTGACTGACATTTTTATCTGTCTAAACATAGAGGAGAACTGGAACACAGACATTATCATTTTTCAGAAACTTAACATTTTCGGCCACATTAACTTTTTCAGAAACTTAACATTTTTGGCCACATTAACTTTTTCAGAATGGCATTTTTTCTGGAGTTTGAACAGAATTCGTTTTGAGCTAAAAAAAAATTTTTTTACTGCCACATGACACAGCTAAAACCTTCCTGAAGAAAATGTATTGGCTCTGTGGTGACATATAATATATCAAATCAAAGAGAAATTAATACAGAATACATCTAAACTAGTTAAGGATAAATACACTGCAACAAACTATAAAAATAATACCCTATTCAAGGATGTTAGACACACTTGAAGATTTTTGACACATGAAGTTTTGCACTTTAGTTACTTTTTTTAGGTGATCAGCAACACTGCTATCCATTTCTAAGAATTCACATGCTGTCTCTATTCACTCATGCATCAGCTAGTCTTTATTTGGGACAATTTATCTATATACTTTGGATTTTATCAAAATTTTTGTGTGACACGTCAAATTTCAGAACAGTTAGTAAAAAAAGTAAATGAACTTTTTCAACGCCTTTAGGCATATTGGGCATATAGGCATAGACCTATATTTTATAGACCGATCAGCAACTTGGTGGGTGTTGTGGTCAGCCTCACAATGGGCGCCTTTACTTCCCAGGACTGCACCTGGTACCCACTCAAGGCTGGGTGACCTGGAAGCCAAGGTCATTTTTGAAGAAAGCCCGGTTCCATCAGCACCTGAACCCACAACCTTCTGATCCACAGGCGAGCCTCCAGCCGCTACACCACAGCTATTCCAGTAATGATTCAGACTTTAATTTATCCAACAATAAATATCCGACAATGAATATCTGACAATGAATATCCAACAGTGAATATCAGACATTGAATATCCGACAATGATTATCTGACACTGACTGTCTGACAATGAATATTTGACAATGAATATCCAACAGTGAATATCCAACAATGAATATCTGACAAATACATTGTTTCCCTAATTCTAGTTTATCGAAGCAGGTTTCATACAAATTCATTTTTCTATTAAAAAAGCAACCAGGAGATCTCTGATATGACAGATTCTGTAGCTGACTAATCAGTGAAATATCCGGACAGCTGTTAAACGCTTTAATAGTTTGAAGAGAACAGTAATTAGGGATGGGGGAGGGGGGGGGGGGGGTGTTTGTCATGGACCTGCAGTCAATGGTATGGGTGTATGACAGGCGTGTGAATAAAACAGAGGTAAATATAATTAGAGGGAATTAAATGGTATGATAAAATCACTAATCCCCCGTGTGGGTTCCAGGGCCCCATTGTGGGGAAAACAAGAATAGACCCACTGCCTCCCCAAAAACATGTCGTAAGAGTCGACTAATTGGGGAGCTTCCTTTGAAGTCGGAGTGCATCTGCCGGAGAGGCAAGGAACCAACAGTCTGTATTCAAGAGAATGAGATCTGTAAAACTGATGCACACGCAACACTTAGGTTCTGGAGCAGGACTGCAGTTCAGTTGTGGACGAGCAACCAGAACTTTCTGCCAGAGTGTACAGCTGGTGAACGCGAAGGAGAAGAGAAGAATCACTAATGTAGAGCTTAGGGAGAGAACTCGGCAAGCTCTAGTGGACCAAGAGGTGAAGAAAAGATGCTGGCGTTGGATAGGACACACATTGAGATAACCGGAGAACTATATAACTAGAATGTCTTTGCATTGGAACCCACAGGGGCATAGGAACAAAGGAAGACCAAAAAACACATGAAGAAGGGAGCAGGAGAATGAAGTTAGAAAGATGGGGAGGCTATAGGGAGAACTGCATGCATTAGCAAAGGATAGAACGACTTGGCGAGAGTTGGTTGAGGGCCTATGCTCCATTGGGGGCTAGAAAGGCAGAAGAAGAAGAAATGTAATTAACTATAGTGATAGTCTATAGTAAGTAAGTATGAGATAAAGACTGGACTATCATAGCTTCAGAGAAGTCTTGTAGTTAACTTTTTTATATTTTCTCCAGGGTATACCGGTGTGTTGGGAACTGAACAGGCGGACATTGTGGCTGATTCCGCACCAGTCAGTGGTAAACTGTTGCAGGACAAGCTAGATGTTGTAAGGGTCCTGTGGGAGCAAGTAAACAGCATGGAGGTACAGACAGATCATCATGAGCTGAAAAGAAATGTGCAGCGAGGAGTGACCCTTGTCCTGCATCATTTTACCACCAATTGGTACAGAAACAGCCAGTTCATCTGCCTTTTCGGTTTCCAACACACCTGCCTACTCTGGAGAAAACATTAAAAAGATGCTAACTACATGAATGTTCAGTTAAAAATGGCCACTCTACTAAACCTGTGTAAATTACAGAAGCTGCGGTTATTCCATGGGGATCTTGGCACCAAACTTCCGACTGACCGTCAGCTAAGTGAGTTAATGGCTGATGGACAGCTCTGCCTCCACAACGGTTCAATGCTGGTTCTAGAAAGTGTATCTGATAACGTTGATATGTTAAAAAACTTTCAAGCTTACAAAGTTTAATAAAAGTGAATCACGAAATTCTTCTTCTTCATCTTTGCGTTCAGTTTTGTATGCTCAGATCAAACTGTCAGATGGGTTGCCTCTGTAACTCGCATGTCAGTAGCAGGTCCTTCATGGTTCCCCGTAGCTTGTTCTGCACTTTGCTCTTGAGGCCAGGTGTCTTTTCAAAGTTGTAGGTAGAGTGGGCAGGTCTGCAGAATGTGCTCAGGAATCATGAAATAAAAGGATGGATCTTTCCCCAGAATTTTTGTATGTTGTGTAGGTCTTCACACTGGGTTGCCCTGATCGTCTTGGCTAATGGGGTTGAGATGAAGCCGTGATGGGCTTAGCAGGCGATTGATTTGAAGTATTTGCTACGCAGAATACATTCTTCTTTTGCTTCTTCACGTTCACCAGCTGGAAACTCTGGTGGAAAGTTCTGGTTGTTCATCCACTTCTGAACTGTAGTCTTGTTGCGGAACCTGGGTTCTGCATGCAAATCCATTTTGTTGAGTGGAGTCAAGAATTGACACCACAGCGCTCAGGGCATTCCAATGTGTGCGCCATCCTCATCTTCAGCAGCCATTACAGAGTTCCAATACTGATTGTACCAGTTGTAATCTGGTTATATGCTCGTCCTGCCTTTTCCTTGAGTGAAGTGAGCTGGCCAGACACCCCTGGTTACACCCAGGTGCCTTATTCTCTCCAGGCGATCTGACTTATTTGTAAGCAGGCTGTTGGTTCCTTACCTCTCAGGCAAATGTACTCCTTTTGCGTAGGAAACACCCCTAATTAGTTAACTTTTACGACATGCTTGTCATAGGGGCAACGGGTCTGTTTCCCCCCCCCTCCCCCCCCCCCTTCCGCCCCAACCCATAATGGAGCCCTTGAAACCACATGGGGAGTACAGCATTTGATATTTTAGGAATATGTAAAAACCTGGTAACAATTACTTAAAATATGTATTTGGTCAGTGATGTAGAGAAGATTCTGGGCCATGGTGATGATGCTGACTTTGTCTAAGTCCTGGTAATTATAGAGCTGCAGCGATACCTGGATCATTTCAACAGAATTGAGTTGAGTTGAGTCAAGAATTGACATCAAAGCACTTGGGTCATTCCCATGTGTGCTCCGTCCTCATCTTCGGGAGCCAGCTGAGAGTTTCAATACTGATGGTACCGGTGACAATCTTGTTATATCTGTTTTGCCTTTCCTCTGAGTGTATGGAGCCGGCCAGACCCTCTGGTTACACCCAGTTGCTTCATTTTGTTCCAGGCTATAATAATCTTGTGACTTCGCTGCTTGTTCCCAAAAGGCCTTGACCACATCTGCCTTGTTATGTATCAATTCAACACCCTGTGGTGCAGATCCAGCCAATCTATCTGTCTGTTCATTCCCAACCATGCCAGCATAGCCTGGAGAAAAAATACAAAATATGCTCGCTACCCGTGACCTTCCCAGTGAAACTTGCTACTGCTTGAAGCATCCCTGTCTTCACCTTTCTCAGCATGCTTTCAGTCTGTTACAATTACAACACGTGTATGCATCTTGTTCTCTAGCCACCGGAGAGCTGCAGTTACCGCCTATACCTTCATTCTCATGCTAGATGTTGTGGTGTCAAATGCTAGGCTGTCCTGCACTAAAGGTTTTCCATTGGCTGTTGCTACGAACCCCTCTCAACACCGAATCATGTGAATAGACAATTAGATCACCTTGGCATGAATTGTTGTGAATCAACTGTTGGACTTTAACCTCCGTAGCACCCACTGTGTCAATTCTTGACTCAACTCTGTTGAGATGATCCAGGAATCACTGCAGCCCTTCCTCTATAAATATCAGGAGGACTTAGACAAAGTCAGCATCATCACCATGGTCCAGAATCTTCCATCTGTTGTCTTCCATCTGTTGTCTTCCATCTGTTGTCTTCCATCTGTTGTCTTCCATCTGTTGTCTTCCATCTGTTGTCTTCCATCTGTTGTCTTCCATCTGTTGTCTTCCATCTGTTGTCTTCCATCTGTTGTTTTCCATCTGTTGTCTTCCATCTGTTGTCTTCCATCTGTTGTCTTCCATCTGTTGTCTTCCATCTGTTGTCTTCCATCTGTTGTCTTCCATCTGTTGTCTTCCATCTGTTGTCTTCCATCTGTTGTCTTCCATCTGTTGTCTTCCATCTGTTGTCTTCCATCTGTTGTCTTCCATCTGTTGTTGTCTTCCATCTGTTGTCTTCCATCTGTATAGACAATCAGATCACCTGGACATGAATTGTCATGTGTCAGCTGTTGGACTTTAACCTCCGTAGCACCTGCTGGCCACCCTCTGCCTTACCTGCCCAATGTGATCATAACCCTGCACAGGTCAGACTTTTCCTCTGGTACTCTGACCCACTCCTTTCCTCGCCCAGTGTTTTCCGTCTTTTTGCGTCTTCTGCTATGGAAAACCTCTGACTTGCCTGCAGCCAAAGGTTCATACAGAGGATGTTTCCTGTCTGCAGCTACTCTGAGGTATGACTTAGCCTGCAGCACCTTTAGCCTATCTGCAATAGTCGCCAATGCAAGGATGTATTGCATGCACACAATCGGGGTGTCTCTTTTACAACCCAGGATCAGCCTCATAGCTTCATTCTGTTTGCGCTCCAGTTTCTCTAACTGACTCTTGGAGACAGTGAGTCACCCCAATCCATAATCAATCACTGAGATGATTAAGTGCTAGTAATGTGTAAACAGCATTCTCTGCTCCGTGTCCAATTCTAATTTTCCCCAATTCCTTTTAAGAAAAAAAAAAAAAAAAAACTCAGCCACGTTCAACCTGCACTAGCTAGCCGAAGCTGCCAACAGTCTCCGGCTGTATGTGTGGTCTTGTTTATTTGCGCCACTTTCGTGGCTGAAGTTCTGGTATTTGCGCCGTCTCTGTGCTTAACCTGCTTCTTTCCTCCAAGTCAAACCGCTCATTCCCTATCCTGTTGTCTATTGTGTTCTTCTTGCCCTTTCATTTCTGATGTTTTCTCCTTGGTTTCAGCTCCTTCTGATTTAGCCAGGTGTATATCGTTAAATTTATTGAGAAGCAAAGAATGAAATGGTTTGGTCACCTAATGAGAATGGAACCAACGATGCCAGCATCAAGAGCATACAACATGAAAATCGAAACACCAAGAGGCAGGGGAAGACCAAGAAGAATATGGATTGAAGGAGTCACGGACAACTTGAGACTTCATAACATCACGGCATATGAAGCGACTGAGCGCGCCCTGCTCGATTGCCGATAGACTGCGACGCCTAGCGGCACAAGCAGATTTTGACAAAAGAAGAAGATATCGTAGGAGAGCGAGCTTTTCAACAAAATATCCATTGGACCACCATTTACACTTTTAAATTTTGAGTATTTTACTTTGCCAAAAAGTACTGAAAACAGTTTTTAGGTTTGGATAGATCCGAAATGTGAAAATATTCCGCGTGTGACTATAGTGGTCTTTTAGTTGTCTTCCTGCAATAGGAACAGGTTAATCATGTCGTGGAGATGTGTGAGAAATGTCAGGTGAAGCCTCACAATGATTTCTCCATGTCCATTACTGCCAAAATCTCCAGTCCATCGATGTGAATAATCTCAATGATTGGATAACGTCTGATCTTGACATGTGAATAATCCTCAATGATTGGATAACGTCTGACCTTGACGTGTGAATTAATCCTCAATAATTGGATAACGCCTGACCTTGACATGTGAATAATCCTCAATAATTGGATAACGCCTGACCTTGACATGTGAATTAATCCTCAATAATTGGATAACGTCTGACCTTGACATGTGAATAATCCTCAATGATTGGATAACGTCTGACCTTGACGTGTGAATTAATCCTCAATAATTGGATAACGTCTGACCTTGACACGTAAATAATCCTCAATAATTGGATAACGTCTGACCTTGACATGTGAATAATCCTCAATGATTGGCTAACGTCTGACCTTGACTAGGCAAATTATCACTATTTCCTGTAAGCTTGTCATGAGACCAATCAAGTTAGATTAGAATGGGGTAGAGCAGGTAAGTGGTTTATCTGTGTTTCCGAAGGTGTGCGTTTGTTCTCTCTACCCGCCCATCCGTTGATGTTTATGTCTGTGTGTTGATCGATCGATCAGTTGATCCATCGATCTAATCTATATGTCTGTATCCAATCATCTATCCATCTACCTATCTATCTGTCTGTCTGTCTGTCGGTCTGTCTGCCTTTCTGTCTGTCTGTGCACACGTTTGTTCATCCTCCCTGTTTCTTGATCTGTGCTTGAGTTTATTCGTATTTCTGTCTGTCTGTCTATGTGTATCCACTAGTCCGTCTATCTGCCCGCCTGTTTTCCTGTCTGCCTCATATCCATCTATCTGCCTGACACCGAACCATGTAACATCTGATTCTCTTACTTACCCTATACCTATTCTCAAATTTCACAAGAAGCATTTATAATTACATAATTAGGATCGCCAGAGACCCGTTTTTCCACTTATCCTGAGGCCACGCCGTTGTCGACAAAAACATCCTAATTAAAAATCAACAGGAAATCTCCCACGGATCATTTAGATATTAAAAGTGCAACACACAAAGACGGAAGGACATTTGCAGACGCAGCTGTTGATGCGATTTGTTCCATTTAAATAATTTTGAATCTTTTTGTCCGCCGTTTTACCCAGTTATTTGTTCCGTTGTTGCGCTTTGTTCTCCCATTTCGCGATACAGTTTTAGGAATTACATTTTTTTAAATATTTAGCCTCTTGAAGAAACAAAGGGAGAGGATAAAGAATTTTTATAATTCAGGCAGGTTTTTTTCCTAGAAAAACAACAGTGTGGGTACTTTCTACAAAGAGTCTGAAAAAAGGTACATACAATAAAGTGTCTATTAAAGTTGTGCTGAAAAAAAAAAAAAAAAAACACACACACACACAACTGCTAACCGTTGACTGCCGCCAGAAAAAAAAAAGTTCGAGTACGAGGGACTTTGAGGCATGCATTACCATACTGAATATTCATTCGCCGA